TAAGCTTCCAGGCAGGAGTTCATTCCAATTTTTACGTGTATGGATGTTTTATGTGCATGCATGTCTGTATCACATGCACACAGTGCCCGTGGAAGTAAGAGGGAGGGTGTTGGATCCCCTGGAACTGGATTTACAGAAAGGTTGTGAGCTGCCATGTGGGTGCTGGGAATTGAACCCAGGTCCTCTGGAAGAGCAGCCAGTGCTCTTTACCTCTGAACCATCTCTCCAGCCAAATTCTTTCATTCATTGATTAGGGCAGGTTTGAGAGTTGTCCCTTGAAGACTGAGGATTCCTAGAGACAGCATTTCTCATCTGTGGAATAAACTCAATACATGTGTGGTTCCCCCGACTCCTCCTGGAAAGTGGTGGGTCTGGGGGAACAAGGGCCACTGTAGATGTGAAGCTCACTCTCTCTGCCCTTTACCCCTGACCTGGGAAACCAAGGCAGGCTCACTTACTAGCCTGTAAATAGGGAAACTCTCCACATGGCTCTCAGTGGTGAGCTCCGTGCTGAGGATCAAGCATGTGGGGAGAATAGGCAGAGACATGGAGAGCTGAGAGGATGCCCGTAGCTGAAGTTATCCTGTTCCTGCCCAGCTCCCACGGCCTTCAGACCCAAGCAAACACACAGAGACTTATATTATTTACAAACTGTATGGCCTAATGACTCAGGCTTCTTGTTAGCTGTTCTTATATCTTAAATTAACCCATTTCTATTCATCTATAAGTTGCCATGTGTTCCGTGGCTTTACCTGTTGCCTTTACATGCTGTTCCCTGGATGGCAGGCTGGCATCTCCCCCTCAGACCTCCTGTTCCCAGAATTCTCCTCTCTCTTTCTCCCACCTATACTTCCTACCTGGCCACTGGCCAATCAGCACTTTATTTATTAACCAATCAGAGCAACACATTCAGGGCATACAGAACATCCCACAGCAGATACCATTCTGCTTGTGTGATGTTATCATGCTGGCTATGATTGGGAGGGGGGAATCTGAGTATGAGGAGTACAGGGAAATCAGGAGCCAGATGGCCAATGAGGAATCTATGTAGTCCTGAAGAAAGATTGCATCTAAAGTAGATGTTTTGGAGGACCACCCAAGGGGTCAGAGGAAATGACATCAATTTTGGACCATTCAGGTAGAGATTCCCTGGAGGAAAGCCTCCTGTCCCTCAAGAGGGAAGTCTGAGCTAGAGAGGGTACTTTAGGAAACAGGATATTAACAGTAGTTTAGGCCTTATGTGAATTCCTAACAGTCAAGGAGACTCTTTGGTCTCATACACCAGCATCCTATGGAGGCTTGTAGAGGCCAGGAAGGTAGGAGTCGTTAGTGAGCTGGCTCAGATGGAAAGGTCCCTCACAGGAGCATTATGTTCTTCATGCTTTCTGTGGTAGGCACTCATTTTCCCTCGAGAGAAGATCCTTTATCGTTTATCTAGAACATCTGTGTTTTAGCTGCCAACCAAGCCCATAAAGGGGAACAAAGAAACCATCTCCTCCAGGAGTCAGAGCAAGTTACCATCACTAATGTCGATTTTGCACCTTTGGTGTATTCTCCACAGATCTGTCTTACAGCATTGCCTCACCAGAATCCAGGACCAAATAGGCTAGCCCTGCCCCCACTCCCATCTCTCTTCTCCTTCTTCTAGCTAAGTTAGAAATTTGGCTTTTTATTTTTAAACTTTTCCCCCACTTAATACAAGTTAGATTCAGCCTCTGGCTCATAGACTCCAACTTAACTTGTCTACGGAAGAAGGAAGAAGGAATTTGCTTACACCATAGTCTCGTTTGGGGGTTCCATGAGAGCCCTGTGGACAGCTGTACATTGTGATGCAAACATGGCATTTGGGGGCTTGTGTTTGCCCACACAGCAGAAGTTCTGATCGCTATCGAAGCCCTGTTCTTTGATGCTATCCTAAAACCACATGGCTTCAGAATTAGTGAGTCTGCCTGTCCCTTGTCTCTTCAAATTGTGTGCTGTATGTGAACAAAGCCGCTGTCTGAGAAATAAGGCCTGTTCTAGTCTCTAAAGGGGACTTGGCCTGTGGCATGCACTGCATTGTAGAGTAGGCAAGGCCTGTATTTGGACACTCAGCCTCCTGTAATTGTTCCCTCCACCCCACCTGACTTCTCTTCCTATATCTGTGAGCCTGGTTACTCTATGCTTTCTTCACAAACCCAGTGGCAATGATCAGGAAAGGCTTTTGTCCAGAGGAAACTCCCAGGGTGGTATGGGGGACCACCCTGATACATTGATGCTTAGATACCACCCTGATACACTGATGCTTAGGTACCACCCTGATAAATTGATGCTTAGCTGAAAGCTCCTGGAAATCTGCAAAAATAGTCATCTCCAGAATCCAAGAGATAGAAAAGGGCAAGGACTCATGAATTGCTACTTTCCCATGATTGGATGGCACTGTATTACTGATGGTGCTATGAATTAAAAAATAGATTTATTTACTTTATTATTTTATGTGTATGAGTGTTTTGCAAGCATGTATGTATGTACACCACATGTGTGCCTGGTGACCATGGAGGTCAGAAGAGGGCATCACATCCTCTGGGACTGAAGTTACAGACAGTTGTGAACTGTCATATTGGTGCTGGGATTCAAACCCAGGTCCTCTACACAGGCAGTCAATGCTTTTCATCACTGAATCATTACTCTAGCCCTGATATAAGTTTCTAAAAGCTAATTATTTGTTTGTTATTCCCACTTGTCTCCATATGCCCCTGATTTGACTGTGTTCTCTTGCTTTGGGCTTCAGTAAGTTTTGAACTTTGTTTAGTCAATCATTAAACATGAGTTGGTCAAGTACAAATTGCCCTGTACTGTGCAGAACCTGTACAAAGCATTGTATGGAATCAAATTAGACAAGAGGTACATGTGCTACCGTTCAGAATGTTTATCTACAAGGGACCTTTGATCTCCTGTAAAAGAGCTTTCAAATACATTGTAAAGCAAACATCCTAAATTAATTTAGTTATATAAAATGATGAAAGGAGTGAAAAGTTCGCCATCCCAGAATACGCTTCATTGGTGAGGTGATTATTTTAGGGTACAATCAGCTGGAAAATCCCGAACTTCAAGAGGGGGCCACTGGGTCTGTCTTACCTACAGGCCATATAGATTCTCTTGGAGAGTCTCCTTGATGTCAGAGACTGGGCACGGGGACTGCACTGAACCTGTACAAAGCTCTGAAGTAGCCCCCATTTCCCTTTAGCTACTACATCTGCAACCCCATCTTTGACTCTCAAATTTACTACCCCGGCCCAAAGATCTATTTGTCCTTGCCTTCTTTCGCAAAGTTATTGATGTCTAAAACTACCATGCTTTGGCCATTTCATTGGTTTTTATTCTTCTGTAAATATCCCCATGTTTATATAAAGCTAATAAAACTGTAATATTTTTCTCATGTTAATTGGATCCCTGGATCCAACCAGAGTGTCCAGGTAAGGACTAAGAGGGGAGATGGAGGAAATCTCTCCCCCACTTTGTGCAGTGAGGTTTTGCATTTATCTAATTCTCAAATGTAACATAATGCCACAGTAGTGTTGGAGTTCCATGCTGTAAGCTAGTTATTGTCGGGGGGTGTGGGGTGTGGGGGAGAATATACTTACATCTTGAGATGTTTTAAAGAAAAATTAATATGCACAATAAAGCTTCATATCTTATGCACATAAGGTTTCTGATAAAGACATACTTATTGACATAAAAGTTGCAAAAATGTAGCAGCAGTTTCTTTCATTGAATTCTCATTCCCGAGTGAAAGAATTGAGTGTGCCCTTACCTGGCCAATTAGAGAAAGCCATGGCTGACACAGAGGACTAAGGACTCATAAAGAACTGTTAACATTTATTCTTCATATTCTGTTTTCTTCCTCTAATGTCAGAAGGCAATTTACCAGACATCTAAATATTTTCCCCTTTCTTCTGAAGATTTATGCCAAGATTTTACACACACCATGCATGGGTCTTTGGTTGTCATGGGTTTGTCTAAATAACATGTGACTTCCAGTAAGTCACCACAACAAGGAAGATGTGAGACCTCTGCCTCAGATGTTTAGAGATGCTTCACTCTAAAGAAAGATACTCAGCAGCTTTCCTCCAAGGGTGGAATCAGTCAGCCTATATTTTCAACTGAATTGGCTAGGGCTTTGTATTTGGAAATGGTTTGTCTTAAAAAGCTTCAGTAAGTACCCATTTATAGATGCATGCTTTTAATAATTTTAATCTATCAAAGAAAATTTGAAATGTAAAGTTATATGAAATAAACCTTACTTTGTACCAAAAATTTAGACTAACTTTTCAATTTAATAATAAAAAAGGACATCTTGTTATTACATTTTTCTATGAAAAGGTTTTTAATTTAGTGACTGAACTTATTTTAGCCTCCTGTCAAGAAAACAAAAACCATTTCAGACACTAAGCTTACTATTTCAAAAGCAATCTAGATACGGAAAACTGGTTTGTCATGAGCCACTGAGACTTAATATATCCTCTGCCCTAGTTCTGCTGCTGTTGTAAAAAACACCATGAGCAGAAGCAGATTAGGGAAGGACAGAGTTTATCTTAGCTTACTTACATTTCCAGTCTACAGTCTGTCATTGAAGGAAGTCAAGGCAGGAGCTCAAAGCAAAATCCATTGGAAATGAGGCTTGCAAGCTTGCTCTCTGGCTCACCAGTACATGCTCAGCTCACTTTCTTATGTAGTCCAGGATCACCTGCCTAGGGATGGTGCTGCCCACAGTGGGCTGGGCTACATCAATTAATAATCAGGACAATCCCTCATAGACATGCCCACAGGCCCATGTCATCTAGGAAATGCCTGAAATGAGGCTTTCCTCTTAGACGATGCCAAGTTGATAAAGCTACTCAGGACATACTTTTTTACCTTGAATTTTTCTCTCTGTGGTTCACAAGGCAGGACAAGAGTATTATAGCCAAACAGTTTGGAAAAAGCCTTATGTTCTAGTGCAAACACAATTCAAACAAAAATTTACTTTGCACTTTACAAACTTTATTAAATAATGGACATTTCTAAATTTCATTGTCTTATATACACTATTTAAACTATGTTTTCCAAGATGCATTGCTTTCCCCACCAAAAAAAAGTAGGTCAAAAGTGAAATTATAAAAAAAAAAAAAAAAAATGGAACCTTCAGTATAGGAACCCAGTAAGAACTTTTAAGTACATAAACTTTCCCCCCAAGTATATACATAGCCACCCACCTGCAAAATAAACTATTTTAAACAAAAGCACTGAATTGATAACATTGAGGGAACATCTGAGCATGTATACACACAGTCACAGACAGACAGACAGACAGACAGACACACACACACACACACACACACACACACACACACACGGCTCTCAAAGTCTGCAGCCTGGTCCACAGAGGTGATCAATAAAACTACAGATTTATCCTAGAACCCAAAGGACCACATACATTTTGTACAATATGACATCCACCTTTGTAGGTAACACCAAACTGCAAGAAAACACTGTTGTGAAGAATTAATAATTTCTGAGACTCAGACAGAACAGTAACATGGACTATATTGGAATGTGGGTCACATAGACTAAAAAGAAAAAAAAAAACAAAGCAGGAAACTATATCCTCGAACAAGGGTCAGGAAACTTAAAAAACAAAACAAAAAATAAGCAAACAAACAAAAACAAATGATACAAATTTGTCTAGCAAATTCTAAGAACAGAATTCTCATCTTTTCTGCTGTTGCTTTCTCTGGAAAACTAATGTCATGCTTAAATACAAGCAATGAAAAAAAAAAAAAGGAATGTTTTCAGAACCACGTAATTCAGTGCTGGGGATCAGTCTGGGCCTGAGAACGTGAGGCGAGGGCTCCACCACCAAGTGTCACCCTCGGCCCCAAATGTTTTGGTAACTACAGAAGAGTAGAGGGTCCAGAGGACAGGAAACTCAAAGCAACAAGAACAACAACAAAAAGCACCGCAGGAACTAATTTGTAACATAAGGATGGTCACATTTTTAAGTCGCACAGTTGACACTAAAGGGGGATCGGAGTTTAAAAGAGGAAAAGGATTATGGGAAGCTGTCAGTGATTCTATTCCTGCCTACCGTTAACAACAGGCCAGACATCTTTCCCTACAACTCCTATCATATCTTTTTAAATGGACCCAATTGTTTAATTCAAACAAAGAGAAATAAGTTAAAACAGAGGCCAAGAGGGTGAGGAAAGACTCCAGAATGTTCTACGGTGTAAAGTGAGAACAGAAAGGGTACTGTGAGAGAATAGTCTGACTGCATTTATGGAGCCTTCAATAAAATGTTTTTATGAAGTAGCAATACATCTGTCTTCATTTCTCTTCGCATCTGTTCCTATCTACAAGGAGTTAGAGTGGTAGGCTATCACAGTGAAATGTTGTCTAAGACTACAGTTACAACGTAAAGGAAGTCACTAGCTAGAACCCAGCAACCAGAGGCTCGGTTCTTCTGTATGTTCCAAAACACTGAAAGAGTCCCTAGGTTATGGACTGTTTAGAAACTAAACTCTTGCCTCTATCTGTGGCAAAGACTTCACAAGTAGGGCACTCACTCATGCCCAAAGCTCAAGACAGTGCCCATGAAGATCTGCTGCAGGTGGGTCATTTCAATGCATTTTGTCTTATTTTACCTGAGGACTTACTCTGTATTGGTAAGAGACGGGCATTTATAGTAGTATAGTGGGGTGTTTTGGATTATTGGGTTTTTTTTAAGGGGGGCAGTTCTCCTTTAGTTGTAAGAAATAATCAGGTTGTTTCCAGAAGTCTCCTTTATCTTATGTAATAATTAAGTTGGCTTGCATTCTTCTGAGCTTGGATTTCTTTTCTTTTCTTTTTTTTTTAAAAAAGATTTATTTACTATGTATACAGTGAGTGTTCTGCCTGCGCCAGAAGAGGGCGCCAGACCTCATTACAGATGGTTGTGAGCCATCATGTGGTTGGTGGGAATTGAACTCAGGACCTCTGGAAGAGCAGCTGGTGTGCTCTTAACCTCTGAGCCATCTCCGTAGCCCTGAGCTTGGATTTCTTTAAGCCATGAAAAAAATAGTTTATTTCACCTCAGATATTGTAGAATTACTATAATTAGTGGCACACAGTTTGGGCCTTGTCTAGGAACACAGGCAAAGATTTTTTTTTCCTAATAGCAAGTTGGTCTTAGGGCTACATTTTAGTTTTTTTTAATAGTCACATAATGTTGGCATCTACAGGAAATGTGACAGGAACGCCAGTGTGGGAACCTTAACATACACCACGAAGGTATATTTTCATCAGCGATCTCTGGCATACGTCATTCTTGAGTCTTGCCATAAATACAACAGAAATGCCACATATAATTCTTTAAATAACTTTAGTTTCTCTTTTTAAAAACTGTGAAAGAGACTCGTGCTGCCTCTGAGTCACAGAATAAGACTCCTTGGGGTGTGGGGAGGGAGGAGATCTAAGAATTATATGAGCGAGCGCTATAGGTCGGGATATGGGGAAAATGTCATCACCAGCTAGCTCAAAGAGCTGTGCTGTAAAGAAAGAATGCATGTTTTACTCCTCTGGTTATTACAAAATTGTTTTAAACTGGTACATATATTTAAAAAAAAAAACAAAAACCCGCCTCCTCCCTATTGGTAACGTGTAAGCCTCAGGCGCCAGTTCGGACTGTTCTAGAACCCTAGGCGAAGCTGCTGGAGCTGAGACACTGAAATTTCTCCCTCAGAGACTGCACAAGGTTCTGCTGACTGGGTGACGGCCCCCTCCACAGATAATCATTCAGTTTGTCAGAGTCCTTGCACGCTGTCAGGTAAGGGGGAAGCCTGCTGCTCACCGGCTCTTTCAAAGAGCAAGGTGTGCTGCGGTTCCCAGAACAGTCAGGGCCTGGGGTCCTTGGGTCAGACTTCCTGCCCTGACTCAGGGAGAGATCCAGCCCCGCCTCCTCCTCTTCGGACTTTATCTCCACGTAATCGTCTTCATCTCCCTCAGACTCTTTGAAATTGGAAAAGTAGTTCTGTGTCGCTACCTGGGCACTTAAGGGTACATTTCTATTCACCACCAGAACTTTCTGTGAGTCTTGGAGTGTGAGATCCGAGCGTTTTTGAGTGTCCCGTTGACATGAGTCCGCCACGCCCGACAGCAAGTCCTGCTGGCTGGCACCTCTGGGATTCTTCTGTAAAGACAGCCGTTGCTTTTTTTCCGTCTCGCTCGGGTAGTTGATGGAGTCAAGGGACTTGTTTATCAAGACCGAGGAAGATGACTGGGGCCTGCTATACGGCTGGGGTTTCGCGCCCATTGCTTTGCGACCCAGCGAGTTGTACAGATGGCCTGCACAGGAGTTCTCTTTGTGGGGCTGGTTGACCACCACGCTGCATCTCTGCGGCACGGAGCCCAGCAGGGGGTCTGACACTTGAAGAGAAGGCACCGAACAAGCGGCCGACAACTGTCTGGGAACGCTTTTGGCCATGATGTCTAACGTGGGATAGTTTGCCTTTGAGTCTTGCTCTGGCTGGGCACAGAAATCGGCTAACTCTCCGTTACTGTAGGGCGAATGCCAAAGCCAGTCCTCACCAGCGCGCTGGGCCTGGGGAGGTGACGCAGGCCTGTGGAGAGAGGGTTCTTGGGTCCTAGACCAGCCATCCTTCTGAACTTTAAGGGGTGTCTCTCTGAACACGATCTGGTCATACAGTTGGGAATATTCAGCAATCCTGGCACCTGGAAGGCATATATTGAAACAATAAGTACACATAGGATTATCCTCACCTAGGAAGATTAAATGTAAGAACATAATACCCTAAATAGATGTATCAAAAATCAGACAGTAGACTTAAGATTAAGGGTAAGTAGTCCCTGAATGCAATGTTAATTAAAATAGCCCACAGTTTAATAAAAATAGAGTTCATTTAATGGGATTGAATTTCACACTATTTTATCTGAATAGCATATCTACAAGGGTCCAGTGTGTGTCATGAAAATTCCTTTAATCCATAAGATAGTGTCAGTGCTGAAAACAAGCCATTGACAAATGAGAATACCAGAGCTTATGTTCTGCTGTATAAAAGCACCTCATGTCCACTAAAAGAAGCAGGACCACAACGCTGTAGCCACCCCTGGCTTCATGCTCCTCTTGTTCGCCCTCGGACAAGTTTTCTTAGAGACGTTGGTCCCTGGCAGCTGTTTCAACATCCTGCTTTCCAAATAACCCTCTACCACCACTGCCTAGCAGCCAACATCAAGGCAACATCCTTTAGCTCAAGTAAGGACTAGCTCACGTATTCTTTCCCATTCCTCCAAAGCCAAGAGCAAAACCCCATGTCTCCAAGCCATCAAGAACAGATCCCTTGCTCACGAACTCCATAACTGAATGCTATCTGGCACAGACTTAAGAACAGGACGTGACAGTTACTTCCAAAAACACATTTGCTGCCTATAATTAAACCCCAGCCCCTTCTCCATGTTGCCTTGCTTCAGAGTGCAGACATCTCTAAAGATAGGACCTAGATTTTGTAATGCAATGGAGAACATTCTCCCAAGCCAGCAGCACATCGATTCAGGAGCTGTTCCCAGCTGTGACCCTGGCACACACGACTATCATGACATCAAAGAACACCGTTCACCCTGTGTATTGCTCAGACCTCATCTGCACGACATCTGTGAAGGAAGTCCATCCCATCTACGACAACCAGCAAATGACATTAGATATAAATTGGTACTATTTACATGCTTGGTAACCTGTTGTGGGTAAACTCTCCTTTAAATTTCAGTGAGAGACACATTAAGTGGGACTTTGGCTATTTCTTCAGTCTACCTTTCTGGAAGATGGAAACACCTCGCTGGTATCATGTGCTTCTAGCTGTAACTCCTCCGTCCTTTTACCCTTCAACCCCTGCTCCCAGCAACCGAGGCAAACTATTTGTGAATAATGCCTTATTAAGAGTTTATATTCAGCCGGGCGGTGGTGGCGCACGCCTTTAATCCCACTCGGGAGGCAGAGCCAGGCAGATCTCTGTGAGTTCGAGGCTAGCCTGGTCTCCAAAGTGAGTTCCAGGAAAGGCGCAAAGCTACACAGAGAAACCCTGTCTCGAAAAACCAAAAAAAAAAAAAAAGAGTTTATATTTAGACGCTTTGGGTTTTTGACTCCATTCGAAACTGCATTTAAGGACAGAGGATATTGTTCAGAAATTTCTAGAAGCAAAAACTTGGCAAATTGCTCCTTAAGTAGCACAGCAAAGTCTCACAATACCAATTCAAATGCAGCAGCACCTCAAGAGATACTACATAGCCATCTACTTGGATCGCAGTGCTCTGTGTCAGCCATTTTCCCAAAGCCTGGCATGTGGCATTAACTATGAGACCCAACCACAGAGAGCCGGGACTTCAGACGACGTCATATGGTTCACTTGAGCATCCCTCTCACACTGAGCCACAGCTGAATCAGGGGGCACTGAACTAAGTTCCACCAAGTTCTAAAGAGATGACAATGCGAGGGAGAGCAGAACTAATGCAAAATTCAAATAAAAGCATTCTGGCATAAATTTGTCCATAAAGTTTTATTGGAGGACACGGCTCCTGATTTTAGTGCAGCTAATGTAATATAATGTAAAAAATACTAATGTAATAGGTTATGTCTAAAATACTCATTGTATTATTTCTCACGCCTTTTCTCTCTCATACTTTCCTTGTCTTTGCCTAATCAAGCCTCACCCATCCCTCAAAATCCTCCACAAGCCCTAGTCTACTCAAAACCCCTTTCCCGACTTCTTTCGTAAGCCTTATATGGGACTGCAGGAATGGCCTCACTTCCAGACAACCCAAGTTCAGTTCCCAGCACCCACATTGGGCAGCTTGCAACTGCCTGTATGCTCCAGCTTCAGGGGATCCAAGACACTTGTCTAGCATCTGGAGGCACCTGCACACACACACTGCATATACTCAGGCACACACATATGTATGTATAAAATAAATTAATGCATTTTAAAAGTATTCAAACACATGCACACAAACAGAAAAGCTATATGGCTAATCACCTCCATAGGCTAGTTCATTATTGAGGATAATCTATGAGCCTTTGGTCTCAGAGAAACAATGTTGGACACATAACTTCTAGAAGGAAACTGGTCTCAACTATTTCATTACATGGATTTTTTTTCACCCTTTCCTTTTGAGCATAGGGTTTCAAATTTATGGGCCTTTCCTGAGACCACCCAACAGAGTCAAGACAACATAGAAATCAGGCCACAAGCAGGAAAGGGAAATAAGGAAGATGGCTTTGGATTAAAATGCTTCCCATAGATAGCTCCTACTGGGTACTTTAATCTTTAGGTGACAAAGAGGGGGACCATTGATAAAGTCTGATATAATGTATCTCACTAAAAGAGAAAACTGATCTCAGTTATTTCTTGTCTCAATTTTTCCACTTGAGAGAATTTATACCTTGCATGATGCCAGTATGAACAAGACAAATTTTCAGAGCTCAAGCTGTGATTAAATAGAACCTGTTAGCCAGAGGCATAGAAAATGGCTGGCCAACATTGACCTCTTAGCCTAGCCAACCCAGGACTAGTCTATGGGTCAAAGTTTAACTATGACCTTACTCTGCTAATGTCTGTATAGGACATATACACTATTATTACATGATAATATTAGGCTGTCTTTGGTTTGTTTTTCCCTGAAGGTTTGAAAGTTGGAGTTCTTTTCATTAAAGATTAAAAATTGAAATAATTATTGTGGCAGGAGATATCAAACATGTTGATTTCAAGACAGAGGATTAGAAAAATATTGATATTTATGATGTTGCTCATATATAAACAGAAGCATAGAATTGTGCCCTCCCTACATTATACAAAAAGTTCTCAAGGCTATATGAAAATATCACCCAAAATACAGGAATCCAAGGAGTCTCCTTGGTCTCAAATACTATCAGCGGAACAAGATGGCCACATGCTACAAAAGGCTCTAAAAGGTGGGAGCAACTGGACCTGGTTGGGTGATTTATAGGTGGACATGTGACCCGGGGCCTGTAGACCCCAGGGACAGAGTTCAATAAAGATGCTCGAGGGTTTCAGCAGGTGAATAGGGTGCTCTTCCTTCCGCACAGCACCGAGAGCAAGCTCCTGGCAAAGTGGCAAGGCCCATGCGCAGAAGTCTGGAGAATCGGTCCATTCGATTACGACGTCCTGTGCCCAGATAAACAAGAGAGAGAAAAGGAGTCATAATGTCAACTAATTGAAAGCCTAGTGGGCACAGGAAGTGGCCTTGATCACCCAGATGGAGCCAGGTCTGAGAGATGGCAGGCCCCAGGGGCATGCTTCTGCCATGTGGAGGGGAAGACAGCCCTGTCAGGAAGACACCTTGGCAGGGAATGCTCCTCTTTGATGGAGGAGGATGTCAGCAGCAGCCTAGCAACCCACCATGTCAAGAAAAGACCCAGATACAAAGCATAGAAGAGATCTTGTGGGACCCTGAGAAGACAGCAGGCTGAACCAGGGGGCAAAAAGGGAAATGGAACCCCAATCAGCAATCACAATACCTCAAAGGCGGTAAAAAGAATTCATTCAAAGAAGTTCTAGGTCCTCATTCTTTAGTTCTGAGGGACTTGCTTCAAGCAAGCTTAGAGTTTTGCATCTTAATGGCTGGCTCATATTCCAGTCGGTCTGGCCCTGGCTATTACTGGTAAACTGTAGTCTGCTGGCATAGTCAATTCCTCCTCCTCCTCCTCCTCTTCCTTTTCCTCCTCCTCCTCATCAGAAATATTAGTATTATATTTTCTCTAAATGTGGGAAACAATGGCCTGGCCTCAGCTATTGGCTGAAATTACCACTATCAACTTCTCCCAAGGCCACCTGTACCACCCCACCCACAAATCCTCCTGGAGTTTGACATTAGTCACTTTCTGAAACTATAAAACAACCTGCTTGGGGAGACGAGCATTGGAAAGAGGATGTAACTGACTTTAAGCATGCTATTGCCAGGAGGAACAGAAATGCACTCTAGTCTCTCTCACAGTCACACAGAAGTCAATTTTTACTTTAATTTTATCATAAAGAAGAATTCAACGAGTCCATAAAACCCGTCAGAAAAAAAGTCCAGGCCTGCACTTCTTTATCTGGTAGGAAATTGCTGAACATGAAAGCTTTTGATAATACTTTAAATTATGGTGTATTTTTTCCCCTCATGGATTGATTGAATTCATTTAGGAATTAGATATCTCCTTCTTACTGTCTATTTTCCATGGAGATAAAGAAATCAAATGCAGAAGGAGGAGGTTCGTGGCATCTGCGGGTCTGAGTGGCATTGATGTGCACAATGTGCCTTGTCTTGAGGCTGATTTACTGACCCTGTTAATGCCATTTGGTTTTAACTTCCATATTTGTGGGGTTTTTTGTTTGTTCATTTGTTTTTGAGACAAGGTTTTTCTATGCAGCCCAGGCTGGACCCAAACTAAGATCTTTGTGCCCTGGCCTTCTGGGTGCTGAGATTATTGGTGTGCCTTATCGCGTCTGACTTGGTTTCTGCTTTTAATTGGAAAACTGACTTTTTTTCTTTTCATTACTGAAGTAGTTCTTTGTCAGGAAATAGGATTTCTTTCCTTCTCTCTCTCTCCCCGCTTCTCTGGCTCTTCCCTTCCATTCCCTCCTCCCTTCCCCCTCCCCCCTTCCTCCCTTCCTTTCTTAACAGGATCTCACTATGTAGCCCAGGCTGACTTAGAACTGGGTAGAACTCATAGATCCTCCTGTTTCCACATCCCAAGGCCTGGAATTTCCAGCTGTGTCACAGGGCACGATAAGGGTAGGATTACTTAAAATATGGTGGATTTAAACATACAGATACCAGGGACTACGGATGTGGCTGAATTGGAAGAGTGCTTGGCTAGGCCAGGGTTCAATCCCAGTGCCACATAAAACCATGTGTGGAGGCACCTACCTGCAACCCCAGCTTTTAGGAGGGGGGTGCAAGGAGATCAGAAGTTCAAGAGGTTCAGTGACACAGGGAGTTTGAGGCTAGCCTGGGCTACTCGAGTCTCTGTCTCAAAAGAGAAAAAAAGACAGATTGCTATCCCTAAGCCCAGAAATCAGTGTGCTGGGAGGGATGAAAAGATCTCCTAAGGAGAACGTCCCTCTTGAGTTTTCTTTCACCAAGCTGCATGATTTATTCACAACTGGAGGCTTCTCACAGATCAGTGCTTCATTCTGTCTTTCAAAATGTCACACCAGGAACCACTTGCTCTGGCACCCCTGCTTCTCGCCCAGGTTACATCTAAAAGCCCAGACATGCCCACGAAGGATGTCCTGCGGAAGAATTAAGCTTCTTGGAAACACGGAGTTACAAGACCGAGTGAGACGGTGTTGAACGCGCAGTAGCTAGCTGCCATTTAAAGGCACCAAGTCGTAGCTGAAATACGTGAGCGCAAATGAACTGTGGTTTAGAAAAACGCATAAAAGCGGGGGGCTAGAGATATAGGTCAGTGCTTGAGAGCACTGGCTGCTCTTCCAGAGGACCTGGGTTTGATTTCCAGCACCCACACGGCAGCTCACAACTGCAACTCCAGTTCCAGTAGATCCAACACCCTCTGCTGGCTTCCTCCGGCACTGCATGCACATGATACACAGGCATACATGCAGCAATATACAGAAGATAAAAAAATAAATCTTTAAAAATGACTCATTTTTTTTCGTCTTTGCTAGCAGACGTGGGCACTTCTTTGTTGTACGTACATGCTTGTGGCTGTGTATGCCTGTGTACATGGAGGCCTGAGGCTCATGCTGAGTGTCTTCCTCAGCTGCTCACCACCTCGTCTTCTGAGGCAGGGTCTCTCACTGAGCCTAGATTGACTGGCCAGCCAGCTCTAGTGAGCTACCCTCCTTGTCTCTGCCTTCCCAGCCTTGGGTGACAGGCATGTCATGCTGTACCTGGCTTCTTACATGGGTGCTAGGGAGCGCAACTCAGGGTCTCACGTTGTATGGCAAGCACTTTACCAATGGAGCCCTCACCTCACCTCTGTGCTGGGGGTGAGCACTTTGGTTGCCGTTCTGCAACAAACAATACAGCAGCCCTGTTCTAGGTGATTCCCAACCTCAGTGGTTTTGAGGAGCACCTGCTCCCCAACACATTGCAGATCCATAGGGAAATGCTCATGTGTCTTTCATAGGTTAAAGCAGTTAGCTTCGTTCACATTTCAGGCTCCCTTCGCGAAACCTTTTCCTACAAGTACGAACTCCATAGTAATATTACATGTGCACCAAACCCTGAGGCCCAGTCATGCTCTAGTTTATGTGATTCACTGAAGTAAAGTGGGGAGGGCCGGCAGCGGCTTGGTGGCCTGTGTGATATGAGACTTGAATGGCTGTTCTCACAGGCGCGTCCGCTCTAAGGACAGCTAGAATTGGGAAGCCTGTTCCCACACCTGACTGTCTAGAAGGAAGAACAGAGCACAGAACATACCAATGGCAGGCCCTCCTTGCCTCTTCTCTTCCAAGATGGCCACCAGGTCTTTGTGAGTGGGCTTATGTTGACTGGATGGTGGCTGCTCTAACTCTGGGCTTCTCACTTTCAAAAGCTGATTTGCCTTCTTAATCTTTTGACTATACTGCCTTGCCATCATAAAGACCCTGCTCTTGGTCTTATCTGTAGCCTCCATCCCAAGGTCAGGGCTTTCTGGGTCTGCTTGGGGCAGGTTGTAGTTGGCCAGGTCATAGGGACTGTCCACAGGAGGCACTTCACTGGCCAGAGAGAGTGGGTTAAGACTCATGAAGGAGCCTTCTGTAGAAACCAGGTCATCTTCGCGGGAGCAGTTGGCCCTGCTAGCTCTGGAAACCCGGCTTTTCCCAGGCGTGAGAAAAGTCTGGCTCCCAGGAAGGGACAGCATAGATGTGGCACGTCCTGCATCTCTGCTCAGCTCGCGGGTATTCTCCACATACAGCCTCTCCGGCACATCATCTTTGCTCACAGGAAATGCTGCGAGGAGGCGGTCTCTCGCTTTGTCTTCATTTTTCTTGATGTAATTTTCCAGGTCGTTCCAGATTTCATCTACTTCTTCGGACAGTTTGTCTGAGAGGGCCTTATCTGCAATAGGCAGGTTACAGCGGGGGGAGTCGTATAACAAACTCAAATAGTCAGTGTCCGAGGGTCCCTGATGGTAAGACACATCGTCCTCACTGAACTGGAGGCTGTCCTGGGAGACGAAGGGTCTCAGGCTGTCACAGCATGCAAAATCAGCTTCCAGACCCAGGAAGGTGCTCCTTTTGGGCTGCTTAAGGCTGCTGCATTTGAAGTCCAGTGATGGTGGGTCTGGAAGCCCTATGGTGTCATAGATGTTCTCTTCTACTGCTTGGAGTTCATGCATGCTTTGGTTAGATGCCTCTTGACCACTGGGAGCTGCCTCTTTCTTTGGGTAGAGAGAGCTTGTACTGAGGCTAGCCTGCCTCTTTGAGAAGGCTAACTCTGGAGTGCTCTTGGGGCGAAGAGAGTCTCTAGGTGATTTGGAGAGAGAGAATTCAGCTTCATCCCGCTTAGCAACCATTAACTTCAGGTCTTCGAAACTTATGTTGTCGTAGACGTGGTCGATGTCATCGATTGTCAACTCCACAGATGACCCAAAGGGAGTCATCCCTCCCTGGCCTCCTGGTTGAGGGCCATTCTGCAGTTCTCTCCTGGGACAATACTGGGAGCCATCACTGTCCCTAACTCTTACTTCGGGAGGGCACGTGTTGCTTTCTCCGGCGCTGCTGGCCCGCCGGACTATCCTGTGACCGGAAGTGGAGAGCTCTGCGGGCTCGATCAGTCCCAGGTGCCAGCTGCAAGGGCGACTCGGAGTGTTCTCCTCACACAACCTGGTGGAATTGAGATCCGAGGAGGAAAAGGACGGGACGAACATCTGGTAGTCGTCGTCGTCGTCTTCGTTCTCCTGTGGAGACCGGCGGCTGGGAAACAAGGACTGCCTGACGTGGTGATCCGTCCACAGGCTTCTGATGCCCCCGCCCCCACGAAGCAGACTGATGATGGCAGTGCTGCTTGGCTGGCTGTTCCTCTGGGCAGGAGAAGGTGTGGCAGAAGTCAGCTGGGAAGAGCCTTCCTCTCTAGAAACCTGAAGGAGACAGACACGTAGCCACTGAATTATTGCGTCACGGGGAAGATGAATTATTGGCCACTGGGGGTATCTCACCCATGTAGCTAAGACTGCCACATTGCTAAAGAAAATGATCACCAGACATTGTTGGCTTTCAATTGAGTTGAGGGGAACGTCAGATTTTTGAAAAGGAGGCTGAAAGGGCAGGGATATTTATTTAAAAATTGGGCTTAAGCAATTTGCAGATCTTTTCTGTAATTAGTTTTCATGCTCAGTCTATGAACTAGGTATGGATATATCAGGATTATTTATACTGAGGAAACCCAGGCTCCGGAATAGTCAGTAACTTTCTTTTCTGGTTAGTGGTAAGGGTAGAGGTCAAACCAAACTGACTCCACAATCTTTGCTCCCAAACAGAACAGAAGCGAAATACAGCGAGTGTGGTAGAAATCCATTGGATAAATGAGCATGCATTGGGGCCCATGCCTTAATACCTGCTCATATGCAAGACTTTAGGGATCCCTCATTTCAACGTCTTACTCCTGAGAGTCTTTCATAGTTTCTAGTCTTATCAGGAGCCCCTTCTCACACTCAGCACACTATTGTTAGGAGACAGAATTCTGCTAGGGAAGCAGCACACTGGTAACTTGTTTATTTTCCTTGCATGGCTTTTGTCTTCATAAAGCTGTGTAGTTCTGAAGTGGATGTTCCTGGGTGGACTTTGTTGAGAACTGGTATAAAGTTTCCCAGGATGGAAAAGCTTTAACTCCAGCATTGACTTAGGTCCTGAGAGGGGCTTGGCTCCAGGATTCTATCACAGCTGCAGTAAAGGTCAAGGTACCTGACCTAATTCGGTGACCCAATTTATGCAAAGATCAGAAAATAAGTTCCACAATGAAGAACCAGTAAAGTTATAAAGCTTCCGATGGAAGCAAATCGTATCTGAAAAAAACATGAGTGCGTCCTAGAGATGCTGAAATCACCTCCAAGTTGAAGCTGGTTTTTAGACATCTGAAAATAAGACAGAGTCTCACTGTGTAGCCCTGGCTGGCCTGGAGCTCACTTAGATCCTCCTACCTCTGCCTTCCAAGTGCTAGCTAGGGTTTTGAAATGAGGATACAGCCTTTATCAGCAAGGCCACTTGGTCTCTCTGCTAAACCATGGTGTAAATGGGATTTGGAGAAGAGATGATCAGAGCCACATCCTTATGGATAAGGAGGGTAGATATTTAACCCTTACATGAGAAACTATAAGTACTCTAGGAATTGTCAATTAAGAAAACTCATCAGTGGCCATATTGGAAAAGTCACTCAGATCAGGATATAAAAGCTCTTCTTTCGAGGGAATAAATCTTCCACAACTTCCAATAGGACAAACCAGTTTCCTTTTTCTTCAGTGGTGAGATTTTAACCCAGGACCTCAGGCATGCTAGGCGACAGGCATCGCTCTACTAGTGAACATTTACCAACTCCTAATGGTTTGTGCCAGGAACACACGTCCTCCTTAGACACAACTTGATATAGCAAAGTTTCACTGTATCACCCATCACACCTGCTGCGCCAGCAGAAGGATTACATTATTAGTTGTGATTTTTTTTTTCTTTTGAGATGGGTTTCACTATGTTGCCCAGGCTGATCTTCAACTCCTGGGTCCACTTATTCTTCTTGCCTCAGTTTCTCCGAGTAGCAAAGACTTGGGTGTGCTATTGCACCCACCTTAGGACCATAGTCTTCAAAGGGGTACCTCATCCTTGTGATTGACAGCCAGGGCTTTGGGAAGGGAGCTATACCCAGGAGGTCAGGCACTGGCCTTACCATGAAAGAGGTACAGGGCAGTATGAGACTGCCCACACTAGCTTTAAGTGAAGGCTACTGTCTAAGGGTGGTTACAGCTGCTGAGGTGAGATGTGAGTCACAGGGATGGTTAGAACTGCCTGAACTGCAAGAGACGAAATGGGGAGGGAGCGAGTTGAAAAGAATGCGTTTTCCCTTAAATCAAGACGAATTAGCTAAAAATGCAAAGTGACTAAGAACGTCAAAATGTCAAGTAAATGGTGACACTTCGGGCTGGGGATGAGACCAATAAGAAAGGACACCGAGGTGAAAGGGACCCACAGCGAACCCTTCTGGAGAAATGTGGCCATGCTTACCTTCTGGATATCGTGTGCAGTTTCTGAAAAATAAAAAAAAAAAATTTAAAAAAATGTTCTAAGTTTGAGAATTTAAAATGTATCTCATATATAGGTAAGCATTCATATTTTTATATGGCTTGTACACATATTGCTAATAATAGACACTCAAGAGCTTCCTATCTCTTGGATCCAGTTTTCAAAAATGTCCCTCACTTATCTGTTCTACATCCTCTACCATAGCAGAACCACTTTATATTAAGGCCCAGAGCCATCTCCTGTATCCCTGAGAGCAACAGCTCATGGTAAATTATTCCCAAAACTTCCTAATAAAAATATGAAAAAGAATGCCTGTGCCATAGGCCATGCGAGTCCCCTGAAGACATGGGAATGTCTTTTTTGGTTTTTAGACATTTTGGGACTTTAAATGAAGACAAAATCTTTATCTAGAAGGTCTCCTTAGCCCTGTCATGGAGAGGGATTTATGTAGGTATCTTATAGATACCCTGATAATACACATTTCATCATACAAGTGTTTAGCTAGGTAAGCTTATAGAGTACTTCTCTTCCCACAAATCTCTTTCCCTAGAGGTATAGTTCAGTCTGGTGTTCATTTTTTCTGGGTCCCATAGCCACTCTCTCCCACCTTATTGCAATATAAGTTGCTCTGTTGGTTCTTAAATAAAGATACAATACACATCAGAGTATTTTCTGCTAAATCTATAGGCATGTGTTAGTAGATAGAGATCGACTTTATTCTTTTCAACAGCAGAACATTCCATCATAGGTATGAACAGACTATTTCCTACTAGATGGGCATTTTATATTGTGCTATTAAAATGCTGCAAAACCCAAATCAAGTTTGTTTCCTTATAGAACTACTCACTGATTGACATCTTAAGAGTTCTAGAAATATTCCTTCTTCTTGTTTTTAGGCAGGGTCTTGTGTACCACAGGCTGGCCTTGAACTTGCTATGGAGCTGAGAATGACCTTTCCATAGTGCATGGGTGGTCTATCCAGAAATTGTGGTTGTTTCTGCAGTTAGTATTCTACACCAGGGGGAATATGGGAGTTGTACCAGGTTCCCTGAGCACGTGGAATGAGAGTTGACCTTTGAAAATACAGTCCCCTACCATATGAAGGCCTAGCTGTACTTGGGACGAATACAGAGTTTTAGTCATACTTGTTGACACATCTATATGGGCTGAGAGGTCTATTTGTTGGGTCAAGGACAAATGACCACTTTGAACTTAAATGGGAATTACTAAATTTTGCTCAGAAAAGTTGTAAAAACTTACCCTTCTACCAAGAGTTTTACAGTGTCTTTCCATCAAATTCATAGCTTCCTTCCCTCCATTTCTCTCATTTAAATGAATAGTTTTTCTAATTACTGAGACAAATGACTTTTTAAACTTTAAATTGTACTGGCACTTTGTTTCTTCTGGGAACCTGGGACATATATATGTATAGACATATAGCATATACATTATATATGTTATTACATGTTTAGGGGTCCTTTTCCTTTTGCTTTTGCCAATAACCATTTCTCTCTATGATACATGTTAATTTTATGTCTGTCAGACATGTTGCAAATAACTTGCACCAGTTGGCTGTTTTGCAACAGGATACTTTTGCTTATAGAAACATTTCATCTTCCTGCAATCTGGCTATCAAACCCGTGAATCTACAACGCACCTAACACATAATTTTCTTCTGTAAGGTTTGACAAAGAATGAAAAATGCAACTCTATTTTCAGACTTACCGCTGGTCTTCAACACTTTGTGTGACCGCGAGGAAGGCTCTGAGGGGAGAGCAAAGCCAGCATTATTTGCAAATCAATACTTGCCCTCATAAATAAATTAGTAGCTTATTGACATTTTTAAGAGCTTTAGAATTTTTTTTTTTTAATTTTAGACAGGCTTTCATGCATCTTAGGCAGGCCTCTGCTATGTAGCTAAGGATGACCTTGAACTCCCGATCTTCCTGCCTCCATTTCGTGAGTGCAGAGATTACCAACACAAAGATCACAGGCACGAGCCCCCATTATGTGGAGCTGGAGAAAGAACCCAAGGCTTTGTACATGTCAGGCTAGCACTCTATCAACTGTGTAACATCCCCGGACTCTAGAAAGGCTCTGTCCAATTTACTCAAATTCTCAGAGCTCAGAGATACTCAGGTGCAAGCAATTCACTCTGCTGAAGTGGTAGGATAAACTAAAGGGTCGGGAGTCACGGAACAGAAGGGCAGGTGCCACTTTGCCAACCCACCAAGCAGTGGAACAACCTCTGCAGCTTCCGCTGCAGCCTATCAGCTGGCAACTTGTGAGTTCATATTCCAGGCTGCGCACCTTACCCATGCTTCGGATCTCTCAATCTGAGCTCCCTGCTTCCTCTTGAACTTTCACCTGTATTTACTACCAGCTTATCAATGACTTTTCTCTCGAAAGCTAATGACCACGATGCCATTCTCAGCCTATCTTGCTTCCATCCACCAGTCTAGAAGGCTTTTAGTGAACTGACTCAAGTCACCAGTCTGCATCCCTAAGCCTGACCCAAGTCACCAGTCTACATCCAGGCCTTCATCGTTTCTCCCCTAGACTAGCATGGCTGCTGTGCTGGGGTGGGGTGCGGAGGCTCCTTGTCTACTTGGTTCTGCACACGAAGCCAACTTCTATTAAAGGCATATATCCTCACAGTTGAAAACCCTCCTTTGCCTCGCCATATTCACAGGTGAGCATGGCATGCTAAGCCTTCATGATCAGGTTCCTATCTGCACCCCTCTATCCTTATCTCTCTCCACTGTGCCTTGTCTCCTCCACCTCAGCTCCATCCCTCACTCCAGCCAGGCTGAGCTGCTAACAGTCACTGCTTGTCCTGCGGCCTGTTGGCTCAAGGCCTAGGGCTCTGCCGGGATGATTCCAGCGCTCTGCCTCAGCCTCACATGCCATCATGGGCATCAGTCTTCGACTCCATGAAATCTCTCTCCTTCCAGGAATCTCTTTGTCTTTTCACTCTCTTTTCCATCCACATATGCCAAAGCTTTATCAAAAAGACTGGTATTTATTTATTCATTCCTTTTTTTCTGTCTCCCTCATAGAAACAGTAAGTGCTATTTATCCTGGCATTCCTTGCTGATAGTAAAGGGTAAAGTGGACTTCGTAAACACTTCTTCATATAAAACCAAGATTTGAGAGCTCAGAGAATACTAAGCAAACACATATCAAAATGTTAGGCTTGAATACTCTCGGGTGTATCATTCACAAGGTCTACTTTTTACCAGCAACCACAAGCAGAGCTTAAGGGAGTACTTGCCAACGGTGAGGTGCTGTATAAAGCGGAAGTAATTGGTTGATACATTTTATTTGTTTATTTAAGACAGGGTCTCACTGTGGAGTTCTGTCTGGCCTAGAACTTACTATGTAGATCAGGCTGGCCTCCAACTCACTGAGGTCTTCCTGCCTCTGCCTGGGACAAAAGGCATGTGCCATCATACCTGGCTGGTTGACATATTTTATATTTACTGGGAGAGAGAAGTAAAGAAGTGTTTTAAAGAAAGGCTAGAGAGATTTTTTTTTTCCATCTTTCTTTTTGGTAGCCTTAGATGTATTAAACTAACAACCAGCCAGAAAATGCCTGTCAGTCAGCAGAGCACCCACTTCCTGCCTCTCGGCATTACAGTTCCCCTTCAATGGCAACTTCCTGCTTACCAGATTTCCGCCTCTGCCGATATGGTGCAGAACCTTCTTTAGAGCCACATGGCGTCTTCATCTGTCCCTCAGGACTGTACCAGAAGCCTGGATGGTCTGCAAAGAGGAGGGTGGCTGTAATTTTTTGAATTTTGTGCTACACCAGAAACACCAGTAATTCTCGGGTGCTAAAGGTTCTTGTAGATAATCAGAAGGGGCTTTTTTTTTTTTTTTTTTTAAATGGGTGAGTAAATGCATTGTAGTGTGTGTGTGTGTGTGTGTGTGTGTGTGTATTTTAATTGTGGGGGAGAGGAAGAGTCCTCCATGGAGGCACATCTGACAGTTTTAGGACCTGCAGAAACCAGAAGCATTGCTAGTCGCTGAGTGCGTCACAGGTAAACCAGGGGAATCAAAGTAGAAGAAAACCCACATTTTAGGAAGGGATGATCATGTCTGCTCCTGCTGCTAAGATGGAGTGAACAGGGACTAGTTTCTCACAACTGACATTTCACAAGCTTTGAGAGACACAAACGGACAACATCGTCTTCTCAAAGAATGCTAAGGGAACAAAAAACTTACGGATGGCATCCATTTCAAGTATTGCTTGCTTGGCCTGAAAGAGAAAAAAAAAATGTAGATATAATTGAATTTTTTTTCTCCAATTTCTTCTTTAAACTACCAAGTATGATAGAGATCTTATCACATCTGAATAAATGAATTTTAGAAAACAAAATATTTTTTAAAAAACCTATTTCTTTTAGGCCTTAATACATAGTTCAGGGGACTCAAAGACTATTCTCATGGGGATTAGCAGATGCTGTTCACTGGGGGAGACCGGCTCCCTCTTATTCCCCCAGGGTACTCTTGAGCAGGGAGAAATGAAATATATGTAGATAGAAGTATAGAGGAGAGAGAGACAGTTAAAAACGCAGGATAGCCTCGAGAGGGCCTGGGTCCAAACCCACCGGCCCCTTCTGTCTCTGCTAAAGGGCTTTTTAAAGGAATGCCAATGGGTGGCTCAAAAGACCTCCCCCCAGCACAGCCAAGTGCAGACCATTCCAAACACCTGGTGACCATGAACGTGGTCAAGCAATCCCCTAGTGCAGCCCTGCTGGGTAAAGCAAGCTCAGATCTCACTAGGAAACCTTTGTGGGCCCCCACAGTTCACTTGGCACAATGCAGCGGAGACTGGACGATTAATTTTCACTGTCAACTTGACACAATTTAGACTCACCTAGGAAAACAGTCACAATGAAAGACTGTCTAGAGCAGTGGTCCTCAACCTTCCTAACACTGCAACCCTTTAATACAGTTCCCCATGTGGTGGTGATCCCAACCCTAAAATTATTGTCATTGCTACTTCATAACCGTAAGTTTGCTATTGTTATGAATTGTAATGTAAATATCTGTGTTTCCCAATGGTCTTAGGTGACCCCCAAAGGGATCGTGACCCACAGGTTGAGAACTGCTAGCCTAGATCAAATTGGCTTGTGGGCACATCTGGGGTAGTGGTAGATTATCTTCTTGATTTTGTTAATTGGTATGGGGGGGCAGTTGGCATGGTCACAACCCTGAGGCTGTGTCCTGAATTACGTAAGAATAGAGGCAGTGAGTTCAGTAGCAGGCCTGTATTCATTTCTCTCTGCTCTGGACTGTGGGTGTGACGTGAGAAGTGGCTTCAAGCTCCTGCCTCGGTGTTCCCGGTGTGACGGAGTGTAACCTGAACTGTGTGTGAGCTGAAAGGAACCCTTCCTGCCCGAGCTGCTTCTTCCGTCAGGGTTTCACGGCCACGGAAACGAAGCAAGATCCAGACTGCAGCATCCACGGCCTTGATGTAGAGACACGCCTTTATACAGAGCCTGTACGTGTGTTCCTGTGAACTTTAAATCAGCTCTAGGGGTTACTTACCATATCCAACAGGTAGATAGTTTTATACTGTATTGTTCAGGTGGGGAAAAAAACCAAAAACCAAAATACCAACTGCATGCATACTAAGTATAGCTGGCATTCAGTTGCTCTCACGTTCCAGAGCAACCCGAAGGGAGTGAAGGGAGTGAAGGGAGTGAAGGGAGTGAAGGGAGTGGCTCTCACCTCTCTGGATGTGCTTTCTCAACTGTAAGGTGGGATTTTTTTTTTTTTCATTTTTCGAGACAGAGTTTCTCTGTGTAGTTTTTTTTTTTTTGGTGCCTGTCCTGTATCTTGCTCTGTAGATCAGGCTGGCCTCGAACTCACAGAGATCCGCCTGGCTCTGCCTCCCGAGTGCTGGGATTAAAGGCGTGCGCCACCACCACCCAGCTCAACTGTAAGGTGGAATAGCAGGATCTACCCTTCTGAGTGCTGTTAGGATCAATTGACAGGCACAGGCATGACCCCTGTCTCTACCCTTCTGGGGAATGGAACCTGATGCCTTGAGGCTTCTGCTCTCCACACACTTAGAAGTTTTACCCAGAATACTTTGGGGTTTGCTGTTACTGTATGTGGCCAATGCTCAGAGACTTAGAAATAGGTAAGCTGAACTGTCTTAACCCACCATTCTGCCAACTGATTCAAGGGGGCGCGGAATCAGTTGAGGCGACACTTCTTGCTTTTCAATAGTGTTTACATTTCTCCCCAGGGTAATATAATTTAATCTACATACACTATGTTATAATAACTAAAATGACTTTGTTTCTAATTTGCTGCGATCTATGATATCATGCAAAACTATTTGGGCTGAGTGGTAATCACACGTAATTAAAAAATAAAGATGGAGGCACAGACAGGAAAAACCATTGAGTTACCTTAACTTTGAGAAAAAAAAACAGTTGCCTATTGCATTCAGTTGTATTTCTATGTTATATCTGGAACTTGAAGTTACTAGTTTGAATGAATTTCAAACACAAACGGTAGCTTAATCTCTGGAAAGTGGCTTTCTTGTTCCACATTAATATTTAAAATGAAAAAGCATTTACTCCATCTTTATGCTCAATTAATTTGACTCAGTTTATAAACTATACGTATAAATGGGGCACGATGTGACTAGTTCCAAGAAATTCCCTTAACAAAGTTAATCCTTAAGGAGGCATAATCCCCTTCAGTCTTGTAAATTATTTCAGGAAAGAATTCTTTCCACGTTGTCCACTAGGTGTCAGCTGAGGCCCATCCGGGAGCTTAGAGGTCTGGGTGGAGGTTGGCAGAATTCAGTGATTCAACAGCTGTGTTGACATTAGAAGACCCGGTTATACATTTCTTGCTGTTTAAAGTGTCCCATTATACATTTGTTTGATTTCGCAGAAATAAATATATTTTGAAAGCTTTAAGAAAACAATTGAATAGTCTTGATGAAAGATCTAAAAAAAAAACCCACCTTCATTTTATAACCCTACTTAAACAGGGCAAGGAGTTATTATTAACATTATAGTGGATAAAGTATACTAATCATGTTTGTTTTCATTTCTAGTTGGGGGAATATGGTTTAGAGGCTCCTTGGAGCCAAATTTTGACTTGGGTTGGAATCTGAATTTGGCCATGCACTAGTTGTAAAACTTGAACAATTTACTTCCTGCTTCCAAACCTCTGATTTTATTCTCTAACATGGGAAGAACATGACCCATCTCTAAGATATTTTACTGAGTGTGAAGTAAGAATACAGTGTACTTATCACAATGTATATGTGTTCAATAAGTTGTAAATTAAAATCCATTTTTGATCCTAAATGGACTAATAACTTGGGTGAAAAGAGTTATTGTATTGTGCCTGTATTAATTGTTTTAGGCACCAAGGGAAAAACCACCAGGAATACACAGATCGGAATGAAGAGAACAGGCGTGTAAGCTGTCTCATTTGGTAATTGACTATAATTGCCTTTCAGAATCTTATTAAGCAATTTGATTTTCCCAGGATTCTTGTAAACAGTAGGTGGGGCATATCAAAGACATGGTGCCATCTCTCCGAAGGGCACTGCCTCTGAGTAATCATGAGAGAAGGCAATCACTGTTCTGCACGAGTTCCCTTGTATCTCGCGACACTCGATGAAGTGAAACTCGCACCTCAGTCTAAGCACATACCCCTGCATACTCATTTCCTGAACATAAAGCCACTGCTGGCACAGCTCCTAGAGACCAGGCTGAACATCTTTTCAGAACATGTAGAAGGCAAGCTGTGTACATACTGTGGGCATACTGGGTACACCTGTGATCCCAGCAATCAGGAGGCTGGGGGTCAGGGCGGGGATGGGGGTGGGGTGGGGCGCATGGTTGGAAGTGTTCAAGGCTAGCCTGGGCTACATAATAAGACCCCGTCTCAATCAATCAACCAACCAACCAAAGGCAAATTTCTTCTTTCCTAGAACTCCTTCCAATTTTTTCCACCCAGCACCACTCTTACAACTGATTCTGTTTTCTGTTCAATTTCTCTTCTCTTGGTCCCATCACAGACATCCCACCATCCTCATAGATGGTCACTCACCCCTTTATCTTAGGCTTTGCTGCTTTATTTCTAATAACCATTTCCTCTACTCCACAGTAGCAACAGGGCAGCAGCCCCTCCTAGAACCTGAACACACCAGGATTGCCCGGCCTCCCAGGTAGGGTACCAGGAACTGTCAACTCCAGATTCCATATTTCCCGATGAACCAGCTGACCACAGACCGGAAGTCTCTCCTCCACTCCAGCCAGGAATCATAGTCACTAGAGCTACAAGCTCATGAACATGGGCCCTTCTCCTTATTGTAGGAACCTTTTGCGCCCCAGCTCCGCCACCCCTGGAGAGGAACTCATGAGTGCCATAGTTCCTTAGAGCAGTTTCTATGTTGCTAAGCCATTTGTCACGACACCGTCACACGGACTCACGTGGCAGCCTCAGGTGGGTCACTGGTGCCTTTCCGAAAGGAGCTGAGTCACCTTGAGTAACTAGACCGTTTTCTTTAGCAGGGAGTCTGACCCTCTCCACTTTAGAGCACCTACCCCATCGAGGCTCCATCCCAGGGAATGACGTCATCACCACACCAGCGTCTCCAGCCCTTCACGGTTTCCTAATTCCCCTCAGCATTACCCTACCATTTCTCTTCATTCTTCACTCTAGCTCAGGGAACAGGTTTTCAGCTCCTTCCCAGGCTCCCCGCTACCATTTCTAGGCTTATGGCTCCATCCTTTCCACCTCCCATGACAAACGGCCCTTCCTCACCCGTGCTGCCTCCTCGTCTTCCCAGACAGCTCACTAACCTACACCTTTTCGAACTTTGTGGGGGAAAAAAAAAATGTCTCCACCCAACCTGTTTCTCCTTTCTTTTCAACCCACTGCGAACATTCTCAAATCCATATTCTGCATCTGTTTTGACTCCTCAAAGCTGCTTTTCTTTATCCCTGTTACCCCCCTCCTCATCAGGTCCCCTCCTCCCAGTCCTCACTGTGTGCTCCCTCTGGCAGTTTTCCAAGGACCCCTCCCCCAGCAGATGACCCGCTGGGATTCCCAGGAGTCCCTGTTTCCTTTATACATTCTTGTGGGCCATCTTGTCAAGCTACAGGGCTTCAGTCACGGCTTCTCCTAATCCTGGACTGCCAGAACCTGAATTTCCACCTCCGTTCACCTTGCCAGACGCTCCTCTGCTCCCATCCAACCGGTTAGGTGTCCTCTGGTTAACTCCCAACCCCAAGCCCTTCCTGCGCCTTCTGATTCAAGCGCTGTCTCAGAGGGTGACATCTGTTCCCTTTGCCTGGGCGAGCCGTCTTGCATCTGCTCCCTGTGCTGTGCTCCATAGGCGACTTGGCCGCCTTCCCCTTCCCCAGCCTCACCTCTGCCCTATCTCCTGGCACTCTGGTCCCAACGCCAGCTGTGTTTGGGGAGCAGGGTGTCACTCCGGTTTTGTTTACTCTGTTGTCTCGGCCTCCATCCCCTCCCTCTCCCCAGCTTCACAAGCACATTCCTCATCCTTCACGAAAGCAGGAGGCCTTTTCCTCCCCCCCCCCCCCCCCTCCTCACTGGCTGGAGCTGAACACTTTGTCCTTCTGCCCCAGGCCACCTGGCTTTCAGCACAATTGTTTCCCCACGTCCAGCACACAGATCTGGGTTAGGCGGGCAGCTTGCTCTCGCCTGGTAAATTCCTTTCCTGCCAAACTGGGCTTGGTTTCCTGCTGTTCCCACAGGACCCAACAGGGCCTCCTGAGGCTCCCAGGCCTCCTCAGAGGAGGTCTCATATTTTCTATTAGCTTCTTTATAGTCTTTCACTTATATTTTTTCCCCTTTTATCCTTTGGGCGGGGTGGAGGGGGGTGGGGTGGGGAAGAGTAGTTACCAACATTGCCTCCATAGCCAAAGACGTGTAAATCTGTAGCGGGAGCTATTGCCTCCTTTGTGTTTATATATGTCAATGTACAACCTCTGAAATGCCTTTTAGTGGACAGAGTTTTGCTTGGCCATCCTCCTGCCTCAGATTCCTGACTGCTGGGATTAAAGTCTCCACTTTGAAGCTTGGCCTTGCTTCCCGTCAGACTCCTTGCTAGGGCCTGGATCTTTTCCGCAAGCGTTGCCGTGTGCTGACTGACCTCAATCTCTTACCTTAGCCGGGATCTTTGCGGCATGGTTCTCCAGAATGAGTCTCTTCAGGTGCAGGACCCAGAGCCGTTTGTCTTGCTGGGATTTGGCCTGCAGGCGGAGATTTAAACAGTGAGATGTGAGGCCACACAGAGATGGTGGCCGGGCTCTGGGCATCTCTGCGATGCGGGGACCTAGGAGTGGACCGCCCTGTTACCTGAACTGTGTGCTGCAGCTTGGGGTTCTTGTAGTGGAAGACGCTGAAGCTGAGCGGCTCCTTTGGAATCACCTCCACAAGCATGAGGTTGCCACACTGCAGCGGAGAACACGGGTGGGTGAGGCGCACTTGGGCACGCCACCAGCCACCACCCCCCCCCAGGGCCTTGCATGCCGCCGCCCCGTGAGGACCCACCAGGATGTGAGCTTTGTAGGTAAAGGTGTCGTCTCTCTTCTTTGTGATGAGAAGCAGCTTGTCCAGGAGGAAGAGTGTCCTCTCATTCTTGGCCCTCTGGATGCGGAAGGTCCCCTCTAGCACCAGCTCCCCGTAGCTGGTGAGGTCTGGCCCTTTCCAGTTCGTTAGCAAGCTCTGGATCTCCTAAGCAAAGGGAAATTCACCTCTAATTAAACACCAGGCACACTGCAACGCTTCGCAGACTCAGTGACGGGTCACTGAACCTCAAGGCTGGTGACCGACAGAAGCCAGTGTTTATGGGGCAAGGCTGTCGGTCGAGGGTTACCTGAAATGAATCAAATCGTCAGCTGCTGAATTGCTAACTGCTCATTGCCATTCTTTCACGATCCAGTGTTATGGCCGGCATCGGTCACAGGGTCGTCAGCAGTGTGCTGCCATCATAGATGGCACCCTCCTCAAACTTGTCTCATTCTCTTCTCTTTGAATTAAAACCCTTCAGTGTTTAACTTGAGAATGTTCTAGAAACTGAGTTCCATACCGTACATAAGTAACTCAAAACTGAAGCCTGGGTAAAACCACAGACATTTTCTCAGGACTCTCCCAACTTCAAGTTCATTTACCCAGAAAGGAAATGGACATAGCTGGATGTACATCCCGTGTGAGCCTGGTGCTCATGGAGCCATAAAGAGTGTGTCAGATCCCCTGGAACTGGAATTACGGACCATTGTGAGAATTGTGAGCCTCCATCTGTGTGGGTGCTGGGAACTGAACCTGGATCCCCAGCAAGTGCTCTTAGCCACCGAGCCCTCTTCCCAGCATCTTGTTTTTAAGTGGCTCATTTTTTGAAGAGTCTGGGACATAACCAAAAGTTCCTGCAGGGGTGGTGGTGGGGTGCTGAGAATTTAGGGTTCATAATCTATGCGCATGTGCTGCATGGCTATGTAAGCCCCTGTACGCATGCGCGGAGCTCCTTTCAAAAGCATACTGTCGGCCCCTTACTTTCTCGCTGTCACCTCCCTTTTAGAGGCCACTTCCGTGAACTCTCCCTCTCTTCACACTCCCTTAATAAACTCTTCATGTAGGCTTTGTTGTATCTTGTGGTCCATTATACGACAGATGGACCTTAGCAAACCTGTCACCTGTCACATTTTAAAGTTGGAAAAACTAAATGCTCTTGAGATTCGTGTCTCAAGTGAAAGGCGAAGGAACTGCTCCAGTCTCCAGTCCCCTCATCGAGTCACCTGCCCGGTGACCACCCTAACACTGTATGTCATGGTTTTGTATAAACTAGCGAGAGAGGAAGAGGGGCGTTACAAGTCCTTAAATAGTTCAGAGAGAATTTGATTTTAGCAAGAGTTGTAAGTGATTTGTAATGATATCAGATAAGGCCTTCGGAGACTCCTATTTAATCAGGGTCGTCAAAGGAGCTATAACAAAATTATTAGTTTAAAAGTGATAAATTTTGTCCTATGTAGTCACTGTCATCAAGGGTCGGTATTATCCGTGTCCTGACCCGGTCTTCAGGGAGAACTGTGGTGAGGGACTGTCAATGAGGGGCACTACTCCCGCAGCCTGAACACGTGACTCGGAAAACAGCGATGTGTCGTCGGAGCACTCGCTGGGAACCGTCCCCCGGCTCACCTGCAAGCGGACAGCATGCTCATGCTTCCGTTTCATGTCATTGATGTGCCAGGCCACTCTCTGCATCGTGTCTATAGCATCAAGCACGACATCATAGCCTTCTGTGTCCTTGTCAAGGTGGTTTTCTATTTCCTTTAAAAAAAAAAAATCTGTTATTAGTTCTTTCTTCCCATGTAGTCAATGAAGCGAATGGCTTCACACACACACACACACACACACACACACACACACACACACACACACACACACACACACATATGTATAATATATACACACACATATATATGTACACATATATGAATATGTAATATATTATATATAAATTACATATAATTTATTTGTGTATTATCATCATACCTTAAGTTTAAGATATAATTTTACCATAAACACCTACCATAAAAAACCCTCACAAAATGGGCAGAAATAATGAATATTACAGTACCAATATAAAGGGTACAACCCCTGCAGGAAGCCACATGGAGATATTGTAGTTGCAGTGGTGTCCAGGATAAGAGAGCATTTAGTAATATAGTTCTCATTCTCAAAAACAAAATATTTTAAAAATACATTATATATTAAAATATATTATGTATATTATATATATATTTATATATTTATATATTTATATAGTGGGTACCCTGTGTAAAGCTCAGTGATAGAGCATGTGTTCAGTATGTACAGGTCCTTGGTCTGAGCCTCAGCACTTGACACCAGAGAGAGAAAGGGAGCAAGAGAGAAAGCTTTTAGCAAGTGGGGTTTCATGTAGTCATGTTTGAAGCCCAAACGGCAGTCATTCAGAGTGTTGAAAGGCTCCCAGTGTTCCAGAGCTGATTCTCTACTGTTGGGGCAGTTTGCATGACCATTCATCTCACCACAGAGTTTCACCATCCCAGGGACAGAGATGCTACAACCCCTGTTATAATTCTCTACCTCTTCTAAGGCTCTTGGACTCCTGAAGATTCCAGAGAGACCTCCAGTCTTTTGCTTTCTTATCTTTTCCAGTGTGCCTAACAGGAAGATGGTGTCAGAAAATGCCTTTTCCTGTTTTTGGTTCTGAGGACCAAGCTTAGGGCCAGACAAGTGTTCTACCACTGAGCTACATCTCCAGCCTCAACAAATGTCTATTAATTTGAAACAATATCTTCTTTAAAAAAAGTAACCTTACATAAGTACAGAGAGCTTCCATACTCATGGGTTCCACATCGAGAATAGCTTTATCAGCCTGAGGATTGCTGTATCTATAGCTATTACACTGTTTGGGAACAATGTTTTTTTAAAAAAGTCTACACTTGCTCAATGCAGATCTATTCCCTAAACAGTATAATAGTTACACACACAGTACTTACATTATGTTAGATATTATAAGTAAACTAGAGGTTGTTTAAAGCCTAATATATGCAGGAAAGTATGTGAGTTATTTGCAAATAATTCTCCGATTTTGTGATTTCTAAAAACATAGCACACAGAACAATAGGTTTCATCATGGCACTCTATGCTATTTTATATAGGAGATTTGAGCATCTGTAGAGGGATCTGGAATCAATCCTCTGGAGATACTAAAGCAGTTGGTCATTAGATGCTTTATGACATCTAATCACCCATGACTATCTAAAGAGCAAACACTGGAGCTTTGGGTATAATCCTGAGGATAAACCCCATAACTTTACAGTAACACTGTTAAACATTGAATATTCAAGTTTTTTATTATTTAGCTTGACCATGGGGAAGAATCTGCATTTTCTTTCCAAAGTCTCAGGCCCATCTGTTAAAATGTCTAAGAAAAACGCACTGTAAAATGAAGGTTAATATGAAACTCTTCTTTTAGTTTAAGAGTCGATTCTGTCTATCTATAAATGGACAGAGAAGTTCTGGGGATGGTCTTGTGAGGACACACACGTGTGGCTCAACTTTGAATTGATGTGAATTATGGGAAGATATTCTAAGCTACGTGTAAAAGCAAAAATACCTCAAAAGGCAACAACAAGATAATTTGGAATACATTCAGTTACCATTCTTCTTTTTTTTCCTTCATTAATAGCCATTTACAAATATCAATTAAGTTTTTGTAAAGATCTTGATTACTCAGAGGAGCTAAGATCTTGGATTTTTCTTGATTGATGGCTACCTAATTCTCTAGAAGACTAATGTCTTATATGTCATAGTGACTCAGTTTAGCAGAGATATATCCTGCGAGAGGTTTTTTTTTTTTTCAAGAATTGTCTGAATACTGACTTAGCAAACTTATTCCACTGAATCTTTTTTTTTTTTTTTTTGGTTTTTCGAGACAGGGTTTCTCTGTGTAGTTATAGTGCCTGGCCTGGATCTCGCTCTGTAGACCAGGCTGGCCTCGAACTCACAGAGCTCCGCCTGGCTCTGCCTCCCGAGTGCTGGGATTAAAGGTGTGTGCCACCACCGCCCGGCATCTTACTAAATCTTGAAGGTCACTAGGATTAACTTAAAAATTAAGGAACTATTTCTAGTGCAGCTTCATAAGACAGCAGACGATTCTCCAAGGATAAGCTACTTAAGCAAGTAGACGAAGACATTTTTGGTAAAATTCTACATATGTGAACTCAGCAAACCATTCATGATTGCCCAAGTTAGAAACCTAGAATCATTTCAAAAGAAACACCACATATGGTCAACGGTCACGCCACCCTGAACACGTTTGATCTTGTCTGATCTTGGAACTGAGACAGGGTTGGGCTTGATTAGTACCTGGGTGGGAGAGATACCAGGAATGCTGACAAAACAGAGCTCTGGATTAAAATTTTTACTTATTTGTTGTTTGATTGGTTGAAGGAGGGTCTTATGTAGCATAGGCAGGCCTCAAACCCTCTGTCTAGCTGAGGATGATACCACGGTCTTGATCCTCCTGCCTCTACCTCTAAAATACCTTTAGGAAAAGATTCTTAATCTAGTATACAGAATAACAAATTATAAACACTATCTCATTTTTATTGAATGGCTATGAGCCACAGTGAATGTAGCACCTTAGAGGATCTGGAGGTAGACAGACTTGCCTTGGGGTTCTGTTCCTCAGCTTAACTATTCTGTTTTTCCTCCCACTGCAAAGCTAAGTAAATCCAACTAGTAGAATGCAAATGATCTTCAATAGAACTTTCTCCATTAACTAAACTTCCTTAGAGGATATGAGAGGTGAATCTGAAATCTACATCCATCTTATTTCTAAAGCCTTCTCGACTATTATACAAGTAATAGAAACTACTAGAAAGGGTCGATAGCCAGAACCGAGGCTAAGCCCCACTCAGAGACCCTTCACGGGGCTGCCCCTCTGTCCACCCTCTTTCCAGCACTTTCTCTTTTCTTCCATATGAGGCCCAATCTATGACAGTTTTCCCTCCCAGCTGCCTACTGAATTGGGGCTCATGGAAATAATGCAAAACAGGAAAATGAATCTGCTTTTCATTTAGATGCTAGCTCCCTGCCTGTAACTGACCCTGTCCAGCACAAGGCATTCCTCAGCCCTGTCACTATCCAAGTTCAAATTAATCTTTCAGCTTGGCTGTTGTCGATGGGGCTGCAGCCCTAGCAGTCAAGTATCTCTAATTCCTCAAAGCGGTTGTAAAGCATGAGTGTAGAAAGTGTTTCCATATGAGCACAACATTTTCTGGCACTCCCACCCCGCCCCCAATTTAATATACACACCCCAAGCCCCCATCCCCTGGCAAGAGTTCTAGCACAGGCTGAGACTTACATGTAGAAGGAGATGATATTTGAGAATCCGCTGGACTGGTTTTAAGAGATAGGACCCTAGGGGCAGTGAGTGTTTCAGAGTTTCCTGGCGCTCTCGGAAGAACTTGGCCAGTATCTTGTTCCTCATACACTCGGTTAGCACGGCCACAGACCTGCAAGAGAAGCACATGCTTTTCATCACGATGATGCCATGTCTTATGTGGGTGTTTGAGGTTTCAACGCCAGTCTTGGTGGAAATATCCTGAAACAGGTAGAGTAGCCATGGAGCTAGCTCCTGGCTAGAATGCCTTGGAGCAAGTCAGGAAAAGGTGTCCCTTTGGATGGATTGAATTAGAAAAGGGAACTGAACCCAGTGGCATAGAACCATGGGTTTGGGCTTCGACAGCCCCACTCTAGCTTGACAAGAGACATTTGTATTGGACTTTAACCCCCTATACAAGCCTCATCCAGATGTCTTTGTACAGCACTCATGGTGCGCATCTGGATTCAGTTCCCACAGGCCAGGTTATCAGGCACAGCTTGCCTGGTTTAAGACAAACAGTTCCTTTTTTTTTTTTTTTTATCACAGACTTGGTTTCCTATCAGGACAGTTGTCACCCCTCAGACAGTTTGAGAAATGTGCCTACTCTACCACTTCCCAAGGGTTGACCTCTCTCAGAGAAACTCTGAAGAGCTGCCCCCTCTACTGACAATCTTCTCTACTGACAATTTTTGGTAGTTTCACTGCAGGGTATTAGAAAAGGGGCAAGAGTCCCTTCTGCAGTTCCCAAAGTAATACATAGCTCCAACGCATCTTAAAGCAGGAGTGTATAATGATGCTTATCCCTTCCATATCAAGCTAGTTAATAAGATCAGCTATCACACACACGCGCAAATTAAAATTCTGATGCATGCGGGTGGGAACCATTCTATTCTTTTCTTCCCCAAGTTACTGCAATGTTTTCAAGATTAATTGAGACAATCAGATGGAGCCAAACAGCAAAATAAGACTCCTTGGAAAGACATTAAGTGAAAGTCTTGTAATTAAGCTGTTAGAGTCCTTTTGTGCTATCTGCTTTAGAAATATCAGTTAAAACGGATTTATTTCTCCCTTGAGTCCTGATTTGTAAACTCTTCATTGTGTGACCTGGGTATTTCTCTGAAGTCTTTTGGAATTAGGTGCAGCTGCTCAGTAGCCTGGTGGGTGACTGATGGCCCAATCTCTTGCTCAAGATCGGAATCTGCTACAAATCAGGGCACATGACGAGGTTCCCGGAAATCTCAGGAATAGGGCAGGCATCTGAGGACAATGGCATGACCTCCTTTGTGTCTGTCCCTCGGGGAAGGAGGGAGGGACCTGTGCCTCTTCATAGTGAAATCACCAGGGTGTGATTGGCATGAAAGAAGAAGTCACTTGCCAAGGTGTGCCTGTCACATTTAGAATCATCAGCCTGGGTCTCAAGTGGGGAGAAAAATCTTGGCACTCCGCGCTTGCTAAGACAGGGACCAGGGAATTTCAAGTCTCAGAGCAAACTGCCTGGAGACAGGCACAGAAATATTTCTTTGTAGATATGAAAGCCACACATTGGGCAAGAACTGGACATGCCTTCTTCATTGAGAACATCCCTCTGTTAACACAGATTTCTTTAAAGGCAGACTCATGATCAAAACACAGTCTCCAGGAAACTGTCCTTAACAATCCCCACTGGGGTGATTTCTTGCTACTTCTGTGTCTTTAGCTTCTGCTGCATGTTACCGAGTTCATACCATATTCATTCCCATTTAGGTATTTAATTGCCCCTATTAAACAATTTCAGTGGTATATACAGTTGGGTTCTGCCCCTCCAAAGCATACAAGCTACTTGAAGGCAGGAATGTTGGGTTCTGGTTCCTGCAGATCTCCACTAACCAGGGAACAGTGTGGCATGAATAACAGGTTCTTAAAATTCTTTTTGCACACGAGTTCACTTTCCTAGGATCCCCAAACAGCCCATGATGGCAAAGCATAGTGCTTCAGAAAGTTGGACAAACTTTCTGAATTTTTGATTTGGAAAGTTTCTATAATGAGGTTATGTCTTTGGATGGTATGTTCATAGTGAAATGCACAGAGACAGACCATCTCAAGCCAGTCCTTCTGACCATCAGACATAGCACCTTGCTGATTTATCAGTTTGAACAGCTTCCCTTTTGCGTGGGAAGAACTTCTGTGGACTGGCTCCATGGTTCCTCTGCTGCATGGTATTTTTGGCTTATGGATCATGAGATTTAGTTGATGCATCCTATAGTCCATACTGTATCAGAAAAAAATGCTTAAGTGTAACCCTGCAAACTATGGGTATGTCTATATAAAAGGATCATGACAAATGCTTGAATATGCATGTGGGGTGTTTGTTTTAAAGAGAAATCTGGGAAAAGCATACCTGTCCATCCAAATGAATAACCATGGTGTCACATGTCACATCTTGAACATTATTTACAGGAGACTAAAATTTTACAATGGGAAGTGGTTGTTAAAAGTAATTATGAACTTCAGGCTTCTTACTATAGCCTAACCTTTTAGGCAACTCCTGGGTTGCAGGTTAGGGGTGTATGTCCTTCCTTTCCTTGGAGGCCACAAGGATTCTACTGTACACTGTATCCTTGTGGACCACCTCTGCCAAAATTGACCAAGGGTGTGCAAGTCACCCCAGCTCTCTTTCTGGCTGGGCTATAAGAGCCGGCTGATCATCTCTTCACACAAAGCTCCAGAACTTTATGAAGATATGGTGGTGGGTGGCCTGAGGCTGGAGCAACTTGGCTGACATCCTCATTGGGCTGTCCATCAGACAAGACCCTCTGGAGTTCATTTGCCATGGGTCCCTCAGCAGGGTCATCCATAAAATGGGAAGAAGGAAGGTGGTGATGGATTTGCATTTTATAAAACTCTACTGGGTTTCTGGCACTGGGGTGGGTGTCCTGGATTCCTTTATTCTCCAAGAATCTCTACATTACTCTACATGTTTAATTTAGCATTTGTTTTAATCCTGCTCAGGGGTCAAATATCCAATAAATGTCTTGTGGAGAGACAAGAAGTGCCTAGAGTTGTAGCCTTGTCTTTTGGCCCTTATTCAGTGATCAGTACCTTTTCCAGGATGCTCCTGGTACTGCCATCCCAATACCAATCTTAGATACAAGCGAAATGGAGCCAACATCCCTGGGAGGCTGGGAGTCATGCCGACTGCTCATGATCTGTCCTTTCTGAACTTTATAAAACTTGGGAAACTCATAAAGTTTACCAAGCAAAACTGGAACATATTTTCTTCCCAGCTTGGTTACACAAATGCATCTTCAAAATGCGGCACACATTTTAAAAAAGGGCGAACAGAGAAGTAGATAGCCCTATGCAACAACACGGATATATCAATTTTCCTTTGGAGCTGTGCAGTGATGTTCCCGGTCTTATCCAATGTCTTCCATGAATTTTCCCTGCTCCAGCTCCATGGATCCTCCCAGTCCTAAAGGCGTCAAACAGTATCTGAGATCCCCAGAGTCCGTTCTCAACATTTTCGCATTTCCCATGGTCTTCAGCACAGTGCCAGGCAGACAGTGCCCGATACTGCATCTAACGACTTGAAACAAAAACAAAACGGAGAAGAACTCTGCTCCTTTCTAAGCCATACCTTGGGTAGTTGGTGCAGTACTGGGTGTAAATGTGGAACTCTTCACTCTACAAGGAAACAAAGGAGACTTTCATAAGCCCCAGAGCACAGACAACAACAGTCATTCAAAAACAACACAAGAAAGAGCAATCAGGCTTTTACCATCCCCGTCACATTGGTCTGCCCCCCGAGCCTGTGTGGCCATCATCTGTGCCCACTCCTTTTTACCCAGAATCCATGTAACTTGAACTCACTCAAGTCCAATAAACACCCTGAAAACCTGCTGTGTCCCAGTGACTCTGAAGACAAACAGAAAGAGATGAAAACGAAGTTTTTAACCCCAGGTGCTTACGGAAACGTAAGCAGGTTCTGTTTAAACACCACGCAGTAAGAATATGTCGGAATATGCATGGGAGACCAGAAAGCTGCTCCACATGCACAAGTCCTGCATGTGCAGCTCTCTCCACCATGGGCCTCCCTGCTTTTTTCCCTGCATAGGCACTGGGCCTGCCTTGAGAAGGCGTGCAGGCTGCATTTCTTCCCAGCAGCTTTCCTTGAGATTTTGGGTTGAGCCAACGGTTTCTGACTGTGAACCTTCACCAAAGCCGGCATTCATCTGTCTGGGAGCACTGACCAAATGGTACTGATGTCTTCTGTTTATCTCTCTGGCTCACCATAGCCAGGGCAGGGGCCACATTTGTCCTCCTGACAGATAACACCTGTTGACCCCTGTCTCCTCCTGAATATCAGCAGAGAACAGAGCCTAGGTCTTCTCACCTGCATGCACCTAGCACAGGAGCCATGTCTCAAAAGCAACAAAAGTTTGACTAGCAAATGGACCCCCATCCCACCCAAGGCTACCTTAATCTTTCAGCTGTGAATTCGTATTACAGGAAATAATACATTGATACTGGTTGATTCGGACAGTTCTTCAAAAAGGTAGGGTCACAACGCCATAGAAATATAAAATAAGCATTGTCTCTTATCTTATTTCACCTATTAATGAGGAAATTGGTCAGATATTACAAACTGGATCAAAAGAAAAAGAAACAGAGCACACTTAGGTTAATGAAGACTGATGACATGAATTTTTACAAAGAGATACAAAACTGGCCTTTTCCTTCCATGGCCTGGGGTGAGGAAAGAAATCAATTGTCAAGTCAGTCATGATGATGCAAGGCAGGGCCAGAAGGACTGTGAGCTTGAGGTCAGCTTGGACTACACAGTAAGACTGTCTGAAAGGGAAGGAGGGAGTTGGGAAGGGAGGGGGAGGAAAGGGAGGGAAGAGAGGAAAGAGGAGGTGAAGGAAGAGGGGAGGAAGGAAGGAAGGGAGGAAGAGGAGGGAAGGAAGGATGAGAAGGGAAGAAAGGGGAAGAGGAGGAGGAAAGGAGAGGAGGAAGAGAGAAGGGGACCCATCACCCCAGTTCCTTTGCATCCTTGAGGACAAGCACTATTTATACTACTCTCGGGTCTGTAGGATCGACAAAGTGGAAAAACATTCTGTACACCCTCTGGTGTACACGGACCTTACTGAATTACTGACTGGGAAGAATAAGCCAGAAAACAGGCGGTGACACCCACTGACTTGTCTTTGGGGATTCCCTACACCGCCAAGGGAAAGAAATACATCCTCGGTAGGTGTAAGGAAAGTTAGAGTTTCACACTTCTGGTTGGGCAACTGTCAGAACGAAGGGCTCAAGCCAAAGAATTACTGGCTCTTGCAAACACTGAACTAGAATTTCATTTTGACCAAGAGCCGCGGGGTATTTTGCCAGGAATTCACATTTCCTGGCTTCCTAAACAACTCCATGCTCAAGACACTGCTTATTTCTGATATTGTTAACTTTAATTTTTAATTCTTGTCTCTACTTAGAATCTTCTTGGTTAAACTCAAGTAAGACTAAGTCAATATTTATTTTTTAAAAATTCATTATGGAACATTTTAAGCATATATAAAATTAGAGAGGATGGTAACTATTCAGGTAGCCACCATCCAACGTGATAACCATTAACTCAAAGTTTATATCTCCCTGCTCCTCTTGCCCCTGCTGCCATCACACTGAAGTAAATTCTAGACAACATATCATGTCACTTATAATTATTTTACTACATGTCTGTAACCATTTTTTTTCAAAAATATTTTGTATTTTATGTGTATGGGTGTTTTGCCAGCATGTACGCCTAAGAACCACATGTAAGCATGGTGCCCTTGGGGCCCAGAAGGGGGCCTCACATCCCTTGGAACTAGACTTACAGATGTTTGTGAGCCACCATGTGGATGCTGGGTATCAAACTTGGGTCCTATGGCAGAACAGCCCCTGCTCTTAATCTCTGAGCCATTTCTCCAGCCTCTGTCTCTACGCATTTTAATCAAGAGGCCTCACAATTCCACGATCATACTTAAATAATCCCATGACATAAGGTTTGCCAATAACTATTCACATTTCTCTCTTCTGGTTCCTTTCCTTTCACATTCCACTGCTTGATTTGAAGCCCACAAAAGACTCATACACAGCACATGTTATCAACTGGTTGATTATTTTTGTTCATTTGTTTGCTTTGTAATGCCGGGACCCAGAATCCCAGCATCCTTGGCAAATCCTCTACCCTCCACTGATCTTTACATCTCGACTGGTTTTCCCCTTGACATTTAGCTGTTGAAGAAACCCAACCATTCATTTCCCACATGGTGCCAGGCTCAGTGGTCCTGGGGACACATTGCAGTCCCTCTCTGGATCCTCTCCATTGTGCTACTGAGTGCTAACAGAGGTTGGCTCAGATTGAGGATTTATAGTTTGGCAAAATGCACCATAGGTTGTACTGTACTCCCAACAGGAGGCGCAAATGTCTGGACATCTTTTTTGTGATGTTAATAGCCATTGGTGATTACTATTAAGTTTGTTTCCAGGGGTTACCAATGGTGATATTTCTAGTTCAGTCATTCCTTCTTTAATTGATTATTCTCAGAATAATGTGTTGGTTTCTTAGTATCCTGTAAAGAACCTGTCTGATTATTAATGTCACTGTAAATTCAAAAATAGGAATATGTTTATTTAATGAGGTTCAGTTATTTTCAAATAACTATCTTTACTTGTATTAGTCAGGGTTCTTTAGTGGAACAGAATTTATAGAATGAATGAATGAATGAATCCATCCATCCATCCATCCATCTATCCATCCACCCAGGAAGGGGATTTATTAGAGTGGCTTATGGTCTGTGGTCCAGTTAGTCCAACAGTGGCTGTCTGGACATCAATGGAAGGTCCAAGAATCTAGTTCAGTCCATGAGGCTGGATGTCTCAACTGGTCTTCAGTATGTACCAGAATCACAAAGAAGTGGGTTCTAATGCCAGTGGAGGAATGGACTTGCCAGAGAAAGTGAGAGCAAGCAGGCAAAGAGAGAGAGCTTCCTTCTTCCATGTCCTTTACATAGACTGCCAGCAGAAGGTGTGGCCCAGATTAAAGGTGGATCTTCCTACCTCCAAAGATCTGAATTAAAAGTGGGCCTTCCCACTTCAAATGATTTAACTAAAAAACAAAAAACAAAAAACAAAAAACAAAACAAAACAAAACAAAAACAAAACAAACAAACAAACAAAAAACCTCTCACAGGTGTGCTCAGCCACTTAGGTTTTGGTTAATTCCAGATGTAGTCAATTGACAACCAGGAATGACCATCACACCGGTGTTCAAATGACCCCCATCTTTGACCAGTAGGCACCTCTTCTCTGATACCGGCCTAATTGTGTCTATCACATGACCTATCATCTTCAGAAATTTCATGTTTTATGTGTGACAAGATATTCCAGAACATATTGTATATTTCCCAACCACCCACACCCATGCTTCCCAGAGCCCCGACCCTCCATAGGAAGCAGTATTTGGAGACCAGTCTGGGTATTAGGAACACTCTAGCTATTGGATTTATCATTTTTAGGGCTTCTCAATGGACAAAGTTAGGGATATTGCTTTTCTAAGAGATTTTAAAGGAGACTTGGTCCATACTAATACAAAATTTAAAAAAAAAACCCAAAATGCTGAAAATCCAATCTTTGAGAATAAGCATGATGGAATAAGTGGAAAATCCCACACTTGAACTCATGCAAGGGGAAGCATAAGACACAACTGCACTGAAAATATTATGCAGAATCACTTCAGCCTAGGTGTAGAGGAAGTGTTACTGCATTCTGTGTTCACACTTGCATCTCATCCTTAAGATACTGTATTACGTATATGAAAAGTTTCAAAATCTGAACTATTTCTGGTCCTAAGCCTTTGGGATAAGGGTGGCACTACCTGTCATTCAGATTCAGAACTACAGGACTTAGTAAGTCTGGAGCATTCCTGCTTCTCTATTTCTCCCGGCAATTTCATTTCTCAAGGGCACTAACATCAGTGCTCCCTTGCATGATTCCATAGCACACTCTATAGTTTTCACAGGAGAACAGGAACATCGCCACATATATGTGCTGGCTGTATTTTGGCCACCACACATTTTTCAAATCAGTTAGAATTTCCTTTGCATGGTTACCTACCAACTGCATGCACATTTTTTTGTGTTTGTTTCATTTTACTCTTGGTAAATAAAACCTGTTTTTTAAAGCCTTAATTTGAGCTTTTGAATTATATACATGCAAATCCAGTCTTACAGATAAATACATATTCAGAGAAGTTAACTCATTCTGCTCCATTCTAGGTGATTCCTTCTTTCCTTTCCTCAATTTTTGTTTGTTTGTTGAAATAGAGTCTCATGTGGCCCAGGCTGGCCTCAAATTTGCTATGTAGCTGAGGATGGCCTTGAACTCCTAATTCTCCTCTTGAGATTTCAGCTTCTACATCCAGTTCCTTTCTCCTATTTTTAAAAATCTTATCCGGCATCCTGTTTTTAAACACAGACATCCCTTTATCAGATAAACAAATCACATCATAGGAGTGGACTTGAGTGGATGTCACTGGAAGGCTTATGGAAACGGATTGCTGGATTGAGCAACAGCTTCTCATTTAGTTGGTTGCAAGCATTTCTAGCAAGTTCCCCTGTGATGCTGATGTCACAGGTAAGGGACCATGCTTTGAGAAGCTTGTGCTCTGCACACTTAACTGCCTCCCCCTCCCCCTCAGTGTACGGAGACATTCCTTATTTTCTTGCATTGTTCCACAGTACTCCATTATTTGGTTGAATATACAAAAGATTATTCAAGCAGCTTTTTGTTTAAGTTGTCTGTAGTCTTTGGAGGATCAAGTATTACTGCCAAGTATCATGTCAGACTCATTAAAATTTTGTCAGTTTATCCTATGAATAGCTTTCTGGAAGTAGGATTGGTAGACGACAGGGTAAATTCCAATTTCTTAAATACTAGATTCATCCAGATTCCTCTCCACAGCTTCTGGGCCAATTTGAATCTGTTTCCTTACAGCCTAAATAGCTTTTTAAACCCGGCACCACATTTTCCAATATAGCACTTTACAAATCCTAAATTAGCTGTCTACTTCTAAGCATTGAAGAATATAAATAACTTCGTTTTGGCTTCTTCCAACAAAGTATAGGTTCCATGGGCCATGGGCCTACAGGTTCACCCAGCAAACACTATCCTATGAGACCAGCAGACACCTGCCCCACTGTAGCCTCTACCTGGGTCCTCCATACATTGAGTTAGGCATTTATTGGCTGTGCAAGACAGCCCTGGCCCCAGGAATGAGAAAAGCAAAGAGATGTGCTCAGGTCCTTCAGCAAGTGCATAGCAAACTAAAGCTTTCTCCCCGCTGGTCCACACTGACTCAGAGTTACTGTTCTCTTCTCACCCTGGGTTAGAACAGCATCCAGCAACCTGTCCTCATCCTTTGAGACCTTTAGGATCATGGGCCATGCCACATTGAAACAGTGGCCTTCATGAAGCCACACTGCATTTGAGACATATAGTCAACCTACATATACTAGTCCCTAGTCAGGTCCTAGGGCTTCTCAATCTTGTGACATTGTGCCTCTTCCTGTTCTAGAGGTTTGATCTCCATCAGTGGCCTATCCTTAACAGAGCATTAAATGCAGGTTTGACCTTAGATACGCAAGCATCTGCAGACTTTATAGATAATGGATATATTCATTGTACAATGCCAGCCCAAACCCTTTTACAGATGCATTTAGGGAAATATATTACACAAATTAGAAAACAGCAGATACTGCTTTCTAGTTTCCAGCTTTTTCAGATTCTAATTAGAGGATGCACAAAGGAGGCAATTATGTAAAAAGTGAAACTATGAGGTACAGGGCTGCTGAATGGAGCACACAGGACACCCAGCGGCTGCTGAATGCATGACAGAGAAAAGGAGTCTGTGACTTTAGTGCTTTTCTGCCACAAATCTCTCTCCTCTACAGTCCTTACTCCAGGGACGTTTTCTTGGACATAGTACATAGGTAGCATATGGGGAGTGTGACAGTGACTTGACATGGATTTTCAACACTAGCAATTTCTTGATGATAATTCCAACATGTGGCGTGTGTGTGTGTGTGTGTGTGTGTGTGTGTGTGTGTAGTCTGTGTGTATGTATACATGTGTGTGTGCACACACATGCATTGATGTGCAGTGAGTGTTGGTTGCATCTGTGAGAATGTGTACTCATTCTCCTCAGCTATGAAAGAAGGAAATTCACACTCATGGGAAGTGACAGAGCACTGAGGGAGAGGATTCTAAGGGGGACTTGGAAGTCATGCCGTCTCTCCTTCAGCTGGCCAGAGTAAGCCCTGCTGACAGTCCAGTGAGGGATGAGCATGAGGGTGGCTGAGAAGGCAATCTGGGGACAGACTCGAGTCTTTCAAGATGCTTCCAGAGCCCCGAGTGCAGATCAATATACACGGGCATCAGGCCGAGGAGAGAACGCTTATTGCTGTCCCTCAAGCCAACTGTCATCCTTATTCTTTTGGAAGCCATCGGTGAGATGAAACAGTATTTTCTTTCTTTGGCTAAGGACTTCCTTAGCCTACACATACCACCCAAGCAAGCCAGGGCAATGATGACGCTCTGTGTGAGCCCCAGCGACTCCGATAAAAGCAGAAGTCAACTGCCAGCTTTACCTCTTTTGCTAATGACCTCTCAATTAAAGCAATTTTCCATTCCTCTCAGAGCAGAGCAGCTGGTGGCAGTTCAGAGAAACATAACCTCGTCGAAATGTCAGGGTGCTGAGTGAGAAGTGGGCAGCGCCGAGCCCGGCACACCCTCCCGGCTCCTGCTCCCATGTGAAAGTGCCGAGTGCTGAAGTCGGTCTTCTAATTAAACTTGGCAATATTACAATGAAAAATGAGATTTGGGAGTTGGCAGGGAGGCACATAAACAAACTTTTATGTGAGTAATTAAGCCAGAGTTAAGCGAACACTGGAACCTCTTTAATCAGCGTCTAACTACAGTTAGGAGTAAAAGCTGAATGTTTTCTGAAATGTCAGTGTTGCGCATGCGCATATCGTCTTTGAAATGCTCAAGTTTTTTTTTTTTGTTTGTTTGTTTTCACGCCATTTCTCCTATTTCCCTTTCTTGGTCTTTTTTAAACTCCTACCCTATAAGAGAATCCATTACAAAGAAAGCAGCTATTACAAATCCATTACAAAGAGGAAAAAAAAATAGTGTGTGGAAGCATGCATGTACCATGATTTTACATGGGAAGACACACAAAGCGATAGAAAGACAGGAGGTACATACAGGCCCACTGATTGCTGTGCAGTGATTTCAGTCAACCCCAGAGAGCTGTTAACTTTGCATTTCCAGCCACCTGGATGGGTCCCAGACCAGCAGAGATAATGTGTGAAACGATCTAGAGTCAGCAAAGGCTGGGGCAACATCTTAGTTCACCTTGGACTTCAGGGCTCTAAAGGAGGCGCTGATTGATGGTTGGTTCCAAAGCATTGCTATGAACCTGCTTCAACCTTGTCCACTTCAAATCTTCACACAGAAATCACATGAGTTTTTTTTTTTTTCTCTCCTGCAAGTTGATCTCTTCTAGAGGTTTCCCAGAGAAAAGCTGTTGAGTCTCACAGTGAAACTTGAAGGAGACAGGATTCTATGTGTGCCAGGCAGCAGCATGGGAACTGCCCGGGACATTGCAGAATATCAGCCTTCCAAGTTCAGAGCATGAACTTGCTGACACCCGTCTTCATGTCAAGCCCATGTCATGCATTTTTCTAAACTCCAGTGACACATAAGAAGAATATAGGAAACCCAGGGCATTGTTAAGATGCAGGAAATAGGCTTTGCTGTTCTTTACCCCTTGAAGGGGTAACAGCATCGACCATGCTAGTACTACACATACCACACACAAAACATGTAGATTCTTGGGCATTTTTGAAGTGGATTTATTTATGGTATATGGATTTTTTTTCTTTACATCCTCTACTCTAGGAAAAGAATGAATAAAATTATCCAACTACCATACAAACTCTAGGAATACTAGCACTAACACCCCCCCTCTTCTCTGTAACAGTGTGTGTGTGTAGATTGAAACACACACACACACACACACACACACACACACACACACACACACACACACACAGAGCTATGAAAACAAAACAAAAGAGTTCGTGACTGGTTGGCTAGCTTCATTCAATACTGAATAACCACTTACCCCAACTTTAAAGTGAAAACAGGTTGCATACTCTGTCTGCCTTGGTAGGCCCTGAAAAAATGAATGATGCTTACCTTGGACACAAAACATTCCGCTATGGCCACAGGATCATTTTCACAGTTTTCCAGATCTTGAAGAAGTTCACTAAGAAGACAAACACATAGACAGGAAGTATTAGATTGTAGTTTTCAGGTGAAAGACATTTTATGGAACTTAAAGGTTTAAACCTTCTTAATGGCATTTACAAGGAATCAGGTAATTGGGTCACAGGTCTATTGCCACCATGTCCAAGGCTTAGAAAAGAGCTGTCCAAGGTCATGGGTAGAGCAGGAGTTTAGACAAGACCAGTAGTTCTCCCACCAAAGATACGCCTGCAGAAGAGTTAAGTTTCCCAGTGATTTCAGTCATGAGCTGCCAAAGTTGCTAACACACATTCACTTCACTGAAGAAGAGCTTAGGCATCCAGGCAGTACAAGGTCCGTGCCCGTATACACACGCACACCAAGCAAAGTGGGATGCATTGCCAGTCTCGGTGAATTCCTGATGCATTTGAAGAATATGACTCTCAAATCACACTAACAAAATTATCAATAAAGGGAGTGTTTCAAAGGACAGATACACCAGGAGAGCAGGCATCTCTGCTTAAACATAAATTCCTTAAGTTTTAGTGGCAGGACCATCATGCTGCGTGTCTATCTATTTAACTAACCATTTAAGCTCCCAATGTTGCACAAAATTCTGAAAGTGGAATTGTTTGCTCACTAGATATTCTTCTGAGTCTTCCTCTTCAGTAAATGTCCTCCCCTCGCCTGGGCTGATGATGTCCTGGGGCAGAGGATTCTTGGTTGGAGTCACTTCCTCTGAATGTTCCTGGAGCCTCATGAATCCAAATACTGCTATTAAGAATTTAGTATCACCCTTCTCCCCAGCTGGTGATTTTTTTTTCTGTAAGTTTTTCGTTTATTTATTTATTTATTTTTGCTAACATAATTCTGAGACTCTGTGTTGCTCAGCTCTGGGTCTGGTCTCTGATCACGTACTTCGCCAGTTTGGATGTGACCTTGACCTCCATGTGGCATCTAATGTTCCCTTATTCAGGACACCCGGAGAGGACATTAATTCATAAAAATGCTCAGTGAGCTTTGCCAGAGGCTGTATGACTTGGCTTGCCTCACAGAAACCGGAAGTAGACACGGGGATGTTGATGTTTGCTATGAAGTCGGACAGTAAAGAGAGCTTCAAGAATGTCAAACGGTTCCCAAACAAACAAAAACACAAAGCGTAAAGTCATCAAGTCACTTGCCGAAATGTGTGGGTTTATTATTATTATTATTATTATTATTATTATTATTATTATTATATAAATGGATAGTTTAATCACTTCTGAGCTGCAGTTCCTGACACAATGATAATAAACATAATAAAACTTAAACAGATACGCTCAAGAGTCTTCACCACCTGCAGGAAGGCAAGGGATCCTGGGACCAAGGAGTTTAAAACCTACTGGTTTAGAATCCCGCGTTTGATGTGTCTGTCCCTCTGCTGGTGGCTGTTAGAGGTCCTGTTACTCATACTTTTGGATCTCCTGGTTTGATCTTCTAATTCTTCTCTTTCCCTCAACATGATGCCGACTATCTCTCTCTAGGAGATTTACTTCATTTTCCTTCTATTGATAATTTCCTTCCTACTGTCGCCAGACTCTTAAGTTTAGAGGATTTGGGGTTGTTTTTTTTGTCTGAACATGCTACCGTGGTGTTTCTTTATGTGTCTGTTCTTATTTCACAAGTGCAAAATATTCTATTATGTAGTACAAGGATATGATGGTGATGGTGATGGTAATGATGGTGATGATGGTGGTGGTGATGGTGGTGGTGATGGTGATGATGATGGTGAAGATGATGGTGATGGTGAAGGTGATGCTGATGATGATAGCAATGGTGATGATGGTGATGGTGAAGGTCATGGTGGTGATGGTGATGCTGATGATGATAGCAATGGTGGTGATGGTGATGGTGAAGGTCATGGTGGTGATGGTGATGCTGATGATGATATCGATCGTGGTGATGGTGATGATGATGGTGATGGTCTTCCTGGTTGTTATTTGTCTTCTGCTGAGCTCTTGTTTCTCTGCTTGATGACTGTGGCTTCTGTCATCCATGTAAATGTTATCCTAAAAAATCTGGCAATCTTTATTTGTCCTGGATAGTTTTATGTCAACTTGACACAAGCTAATGCCAGCTAAAGGAAGGGAAGCTTAATTGAGAGAAATCCCCCCATAAGAACAGGCTGTAGGCAAGTTTGTTGGGCATTTTCTTAATTACTGATTGATGGGGGAAGGCCCAATCCATTTTGGGTGGTGCCTTCCCTGGGCTGATGGTCCTGAGGGCTTTAAGATAGCAGGCCGAGCAAGCCACGGTGAGCAAGCCAGTAAGCAGCACTCCTCCATGGCCTCAGCATTGGCTTCTGCCTCCAGATTCCCGACTGGTTTGAATTCCTGCCTTGGCTTTCCTCAATAAACAGTGATTCAGGATATGTAAGCAAACAAACAAACAAACAAACAAATAAACACTTCTCCTCCCCAAGTTGCTTTTAGTTATGGTATTTCATCACAGCAGTAGTGACTCTAAGATACTTTCAAGTGAGAAGCCATAAAGCTGACTGTAGCCTCTGTGTACAGAAGGAGCTTATCACATAGTGGCCTTCGCTCTCAGGTAGAGAGACTCAAATATTTTAAGTAACATGACTTATTTACACTCTGAAATAGTCTTAAAATGGATGATATACATATACATTATATATATATATATATATACACACACTAGAAATTAAAACTGAATACTAATCAACTGACACAGAAGGTAAATATATTAATATAAACAATCCTCTGTGACAGTTTTTATAAGACAGAGTGAGGAACGTGTTTTACACTTGTGTACATTTCTCATATCTAATTCCAGCTGGATTCTCTTGCCTGATTCTGAGTTCAACCCATTGTAACCTATTACTTGGGGTGGAATCTACTGAAAACAAAGCAGCCACAAAGGCATGTCCTTAGGAGAGAGGGGAGCATTTTAATGGCTTCTTCCGACAAGGGTGACTTTACATTGACAGTTCACTGGAACTCAGCAAGTGGTGGATTTTTACAAGTCTGCTGGCATCAGAAACCACACCAAATGGGCCAGCCTATCACTTTCAAATTCACTGCATAGTCCTAATTTCAAACATTTCCCCCCCAATATTCTTATGAAAAACATCTCCTTTGCAAGGTTATTTTTATTATGGCAAGTATCCCTCAGATATTTGAATTGTTATTATTTATAGCAAGACGGATGCGATTAAAAGAGAGACAGCTGAAACCTGATCGCTGTGATCTGAACACTGGGAGAGGGAGAGGAAAGTGGGGAGACAAAGAAGAGCGGAAGACGAAGCCGCTGGGGTTGGTGTTCTCTTTTACTGATGAGAAGATTGCTCTGTTCAGAGGGTTTGTGCCTGGGCCTATCAATATCAATCTTCTCTTGGGGGAGATAAGAATTTTGAGAAGATTCCAGAACTCACTCACTCTCTCTCTCTCTCTCTCTCTCTCTCTCTCTCTCTCTCTCTCTCTCTCTCTTTCCTTCCTTCCTTCCTTTCTTCATTTCTTTGTGACAGGGTTTCTCTGTGTAGCCCTGGCTGTCCAGGAACTCATTCTGTAGACCAGGCTGGCCTCAAACTCACAGAGATCCGTCTGCCTCTGAGTGCTGGGATTAAAGGTGTGCACCACCACCGCCAGGCCAGAACACTGTATTTCTGAGCTTACTTGAAATATTCCTTGGTTATGCATAACTCCCCACATTCTAAATTCTATGCTCCTAGCATTCTCTCCAAGCATAAATTTCATCTCCAGAGTGGACTTGCTGGGAGGAGGAAGTCTCTTCAGCTCTCGGTGTGCCTCACCTACACATGAGTGACCAGCATTCACTGCTTGAGAACCACAGAGCTGGGAACACAGAGTGACAGTCCCAATCCAGCTTTACGGGGAGGATATCACAGCCCATAAAGATAAAGCTGCTTATCTTAGATTCCACAGATCATAATTAATGGCAAAACTATGCACAGAAGTAAGGTTCCCGAACCTTGCCTCTGTATTCCATCAGAAGTATGGCTACTGAGGGAGGCATTTCCTCAGCAGACTTGAGTATGAGATTGTGTGCCCTGGAGTTTTCAAACACCCACCTGGGAGATCCTATTGGTGCCATCTGGCAACCTTTTATAGCCTTTTACTTGGATAACATAAACACAATGTGAATGAGAATGGTTGGGGTTCTTTCTCTCATGCGCTTTCATTGGGGCTACTAGCCAAACAAAATGGTGTGCTTGCTGTTCAAAAATGACTGAGAGACTTCCCTGTAGGGTATGATGAGATGCTCTGAGGTAAAGACGATGAAGGTCCTGCTTACGATTCATGTGCCTGTGTTCTGATCATGGGTGATCAATGTTAATAAAATAGTCAATACCACGTGATACCACATAATGTAAAGTCAATAAAGAGAGCAATATGTCTGAAGTCAGTAAAGGAGGGAAACAGAAGCAGGGTGGAATTGGTGGAGGGCTGGGAGGTCATAAAGTTTATTCTCTGAGGAGGTGATTGCTATTTGAGGGCAGGAAGAGACTTGGAAGAAATCATTTAAGAAATGAGGCCCCAAATTCAAGACAGAATGAGCTTGGTAGGTTCTTGTGTGAGACATAGGAAGTAAGTTGTGGCAGAGGTCGGTGAACAAGAGAGAGTGTGGGGATTCAGGAAGACAGGTAGCTAGGAGGAATAGAAGAAAGACTGTGGGACACAGCAAGGGCCTCAGTGCAGGAGACAAAGACCAGAAACAGGACTAGCCACCCAGAATTACAGCCTAACGGGCCAAGGACCATAGAGATGGCCGCACCGTGGGCAACGAGTCAGGCACGTCCAAGAGGTCAGAGCATCAGAGATGGCTTTCAGGGTTAAAATCGGATTGCAGCCATGGTGCTTTCAGGATCTCGGTCTGTTCTCTTTCCCCTGAGTCATTATTCTAAATCTGTCTTCTCTTTTGAATGGGATCACGAACAAGAAAATGATATCATTTCCTTCTTGAGCTCAGGCCTCTGAACTTGCCCTAGTGGACAAATAAGCG